GTAGCCCATCCCAGCCTTTTGCAGGTCTACAATTTTATCCCTGATGTCCTTACACAGCTCTCTGGTCTTGGCCATTGTGGAGAGCTTGGAGTATGTTTGATTGAGTGTGTGGACAGGTGTCTTTTATACAGGTAACGAGTTCAAACAGGTGCAGTTAATACAGGTATTGAGTGGAGAACAGGAGGGCTTCTTAAAGAAAAACTAACAGGTCTGTGAGAGCCGGAATTCTTACTGGTTGGTAGGTGATCAAATACTTATGTCATGCAATAAAATGCAAATTAATTACTTAAAAATCATACAATGTGATTTTCTGGATTTTTGTTTTAGATTCGGTCTCTCACAGTTGAAGTGTACCTATGATAAAAATTACAGACCTCTACATGCTTTATAAGTAGGAAAACCTGCAAAATCGGCAGTGTATCAAATACTTGTTCTCCCCACTGTATAACCATGTAATGAGGACAATGGATATCAATTTAAATTAAACTTTTAGTAACCCAACTGCAATAAAAAACTATTAAAAACATAGCAGGCATTAATAACATTGAGGACATTCAGAGACTTGTCCCGAAGCCACTCCTGCGTTGTCTTGACTGTGTTCTTAGGGTCGTTGTCCTTTTGGAAGGTGAACCTTCACCCCAGTCTGAGGACCTTAGCGCTCTGAAGCAGGTTTTCATCAAGGATCTCTCTGTACTTTGCTCCGTTCATCTTTGCCTCGATCCTGACTAGTCTCCCAGTCCCTTCCACTGAAAAACATCCCCACAGCATGATGCTGCCACCACCATGCTTCACCATAGGGATGGTGCCAGGTTTCCTTCAGATGTGACGCTTGGCATTCAGGCCATAGTCTGAGAGTTGTTAGGTGCCTTTTGGCAAACTCCAAGCAGGCTGTCATGTGCCTTTTACTGAGGAGCGGCTTCTGTCTGGCCACTCTACCATAATGGCCTGATTGTTGGAGTGCTGCAGAGATGGTTGTCCTTCTGGAAGGTTCTCCCATCTCCACAGAGGAACTCTAGAGCTCTGTCAGAATGACCATTGGGTTCTTGGTCACCTCCCTGACCAAGGCCCTTCTCCCCCGATTGCTCAGTTTGGCCAGGCGGCCAGCTCTTGGAAGAGTCTTAGTGGTTCCAAACTTCTTCTATTTAAGAATGATGGAGGCCACTGTGTTCTTGGGGACCTTCAATGCTGACATTTTTTGGTATCCTTCCCCAGATCTGTGCCGACACAATCCTGTCTTGGAGCTCTACAGACAATTCCTTCAACCTCGGCTTGGTTTCTGCTCTGACATGCACTGTCAACTGTGGGACCTTATATAGACAGGTGTGTGCCTTTCCAAATCATGTCCAATCAATTGAATTTACCGCAGGTGGACTCCAATCAAGTTGTAGAAACATCTCAAGGATGATCAATGGAAACAGGATGCACCTGAGCTCAATTTCAAGTCTCATAACAAAGGGTCTGTTTTGTATTTTTAATACATTTGCAAACATTTCTAAAAACCTGTTTTCGCATTATCATTATTATATTTACATTTATGTCATTTAGCAGACGCTCTTATGCAGAGCGACTTACAAATTGGTGCATTCACCCTATGATAGCCAGTGGGACAACCACTTTACATTTTTTAAATTTTTTATATATATTTATTTTTAATTTTTAGAGTAGATTCTTGATTTTCATTAGTTTTATATATATTTGTTATTTCTTTTTTCAAAATTTTAATTTTAATTTAATTTTAAATTTAAATTTTAAATTCATCTTATTTTATTTTTCTAAATATTATTTTTTCTTTCTTTCGGGAGATGACAAGTGCCTGGATTATTACCTCAAATCAAATCAAATCAAATTTTATTGGCCACATGCGCCGAATACAACAGGTGCAGACATTACAGTGAAATGCTTACTTACAGCCCTTAACCAACAGTGCATTTATTTTTAATAAAAAAGTAGAATAACACGTCTCCCGAGTGGTGCAGTGGTCTAAGGCACTGCATCGCAGTGCTAGCTGTGCCACTAGAGATCCTGGTTCGAATCCAGGCTCTGTCGTAGCCGGCCGGGACCGGGAGACCCATGGGGCGGCGCACAATTGGCCCAGCGTCGTCCAGGGTAGGGGAGGGAATGGCCGGCAGGGATGTAGCTCAGTTGTTAGAGCATGGCGTTTGCAACGCCAGGGTTGTGGGTTCGATTCCCATGGGGGGCCAGTATGAAAAAAAAACAAAAAAAAAACGTATGCACTCACTAACTGTAAGTCGCTCTGGATAAGAGCGTCTACGTAAATGTTAAATAAAACAACAAAAAAGTGTTGAGAAAAAAAGAGCAGAAGTAAAATAAAATAACAGTAGGGAGGCTATATATACAGGGGGGTACCTGTGCGGGGGCACCGGCTAGAGTTAAAGTGACTATGCATAAATAATCTACGTACATTCACTGTGGGGACGACATCATCGATGCACTTATTGATGAAGCCAGTGACTGATGTGGTGTACTCCTCAATGCTATCTGAACAATCCTGGAACATGTTCCAGTCTGTGCTAGCAAAACAGTCCTCTAGCTTAGCATCTGCGTCATCTGACCACTTTTTTATTAACCGAGTCACTGGTGCTTCCTGCTTTAGTTTTTGCTTATAAGCAGGAATCAGGAGGATAGAGTTATGGTCAGATTTGCCAAATGGAGGGCGAGGGAGAGCTATGTATGCGTCTCTGTGTGTGGAGTAAAGGTGGTCTAGAGTTTTTTTTCCTCTGGTTGCACATTTCACATGCTGGTAGAAATTAGGTAGAACTGATTTAAGTTTCCCTGCATTAAAGTCCCCGGCCACTAGGAGCGCTGCCTCTGGATGAGCGTTTTCCTGTTGACTTATGGCCTTATACAGCTCATTCAGTGCAATCTTAATGCCAGCATTGGTTTGTGGTGGTAAATAGACAGCTATGAAAAATATAGATGAAAACTCTCTTGGTAAATAGTGTGGTCTACAGCTTATCATAAGATACTCTACCTCAGGCGAGCAAAACCTTGAGACTTCCTTAGTATTTGATTTTGTGCACCAGCTGTTGTTTACAAATATACACAGACCGCCACCCCTTGTCTTACCGGAGTCAGCTGTTCTATCCTGCCGATGTAGCGTATAGCCCGCTAGCTGTATGTTGTCCATGTCGTTGTTCAGCCACAACTCGGTGAAACATAAGATATTACAGTTTTTAATGTCTCGTTGGTAGGATAACCGTAATCTTAAATCATCCAATTTATTCTCAAATGATTGAAGATTGGCTAATAGGATTGATGGGAGCGGCAGTTTACTCGCTCGCCGTCGGATCCTCACAAGGCACCCCGACCTACGTCCACGATATCTCTGTCTCTTCCTCATGCGAATGACAGGGATTTGGGCCTTGTCGGGTGTCTGTAGGATATCCTTCGCGGCCAGCTCGTTGAAGAAAAGATCTTCGTCCAATACGAGGTGAGTAATCGCTGTCCTGATATCCAGAAGCTCTTTTTGGTTATAAGAGACGATGGCAGAAACATTATGTACAAAATAAATTACAAATAACACGGAAAAACAGACATAATAGTACAATTGGTTAGAGGGCTGTAAAACGGCAGCCTTCTTCTCCGGCGCCATTATAATCGTCTTGTGCCGCTTCCTGTGTAAGGTAGGGTCGTACTCTGCGAATGTTGTAGAGCATGAACCTACAGGATCGGGTCACCACTTTGATGTTAGCGGAGAACGACAGGGTGTTGTCCAGGGTCACAACAAGGTTCTTTGCACTCTGGGAGGAGGACACAACAGAGTTGTCAACCGTGATGGCGAGATCATGGAGCGGGCAGTCCTTCACCGGGAATGGGCTAGTGACTGTGACAGCATGGAATTCAAATGAGGAGATAGACAGATGGGTCAGGGGGAAAATAGAGAATGTCCACTTGGACTTCATAGACTTTAGTTAGTGTCTGGTCTGTTAGCGATGTTACCAAACAGACTAGTTCTGTCTCTTACCTCTAGTTAGCGTCTGGTCTGTTAGTGATGTTACCAAACAGACTAGTTCTGTCTCTTACCTCTAGTTAGTGTCTGGTCTATTAGCGATGTTACCAAACAGACTAGTTCTGTCTCTTGCCTCTAGTTAGTGTCTGGTCTGTTAGCGATGTTACCAAACAGACTAGTTATGTCTCTTACCTCTAGTTAGCGTCTGGTCTGTTAGTGATGTTACCAAACAGACTAGTTCTGTCTCTTACCTCTAGTTAGTGTCTGGTCTATTAGCGATGTTACCAAACAGACTAGTTCTGTCTCTTGCCTCTAGTTAGTGTCTGGTCTATTAGCGATGTTACCAAACAGACTAGTTCTGTCTCTTGCCTCTAGTTAGTGTCTGGTCTATTAGCGATGTTACCAAACAGACTAGTTCTGTCTCTTGCCTCTAGTTAGTGTCTGGTCTATTAGCGATGTTACCAAACAGACATTACTTCATCTCTTGGTTAGCTACATAACATTACTTCATTTCTTCTTTAGCTACATAGCATTCTTCTGCTCATTCTAGTGAGAAGTAGCTTTGACATAAGGTAGGAAGACCCACACAGTAGGCTACAGGAGGAAATCTGCTGGATATCAGACACCTTCTTAGATATATTCATTTACCTATTTCCTCCCCCTCCTCCCTTGTTCTAGCTATATTTATTTATCTATTTCCTCCCCCTCCTCCCTTGTTCTAGCTATATTTATTTATCTATTTCCTCCCCCTCCTCCCTTCTTCTAGCTGTATTTATTTACCTATTTCCTCCCCTCCTCCCTTCTTCTAGCTGTATTTATTTACCTATTTGTTCCCCCTCCTCCCTTCTTCTAGCTGTATTTATTTACCTATTTCCTCCCCCTCCTCCCTTCTTCTAGCTGTATTTATTTACCTATTTCCTCCCCTCCTCCCTTCTTCTAGCTGTATTTATTTACCTATTTCCTCCCCCTCCTCCCTTCTTCTAGATATATTTAGTTAGTTTGGGTAACCTCTCCCTGTGTCTTTGTGTCTCTAGGTGGGCTTGTCAGGGGGCATCCTACTGGTGGTGCCCAACGTCATGGGCATCATGTGCTGGTCTCCTCCACTGGACAAGCTGGGCAACAGTGTCAGAGGCATTCAGTTCTGCATTCTAGTTCACTCTGTCTCTTCCTATGGTCAGATAGGACAGTCAGTTTGAAAGTAAAATTATTTGTCTCTCTCTGCATCCGTCTCGGTCTCTCTACTACAGCTGCTCCACGGGTGCCGGTGACGTGGGTTCATATTATGGGGTATATTGTGTGTAGATTGCTGAGGATTTTTATTTATTTAATCCATTTTAGAATAAGGCTGTAACGTAACAAAATGTGGAAAAAGTCAAGGGGTCTGAATACTTTCCGACAGGACAACGACCCTAAGCACACAGCAAAGACAACGCAGGAGTGGCTTCAGGAAAAGTCTCTGAATGTCCTTGAGTGGCCCAGCCAGAGCCCGGACTTGAACCCGATCTAACATCTCCGGAGAGACCTGAAAATAGCTGTGCAGCGACGCTCCCCATCCAACCTGACAGAGCTTGACAGGATCTGCAGAGAAGAATGGGAGAAACTCCCCAAATACAGGTGTGCCAAGTTTGTAGCGTCATACCCAAGAAGACTCGAGGCTGTAATCACTGCCAAAGGTGCTTCAACAAAGTATGGAGTAAAGGGTCTGAATACTTGTGTAAATGTGATATTTCAGCTTTTAATTTTTTAAAAATAAATGTGCAAACATTTATGGGGTATTGTGTGTAGATTGATGAGTGGAAATGTAATCCATTTCAGAATAAGGCTGAAATGTAACAAAATGTGGAAAAAGTCAAGGGGTCTGAATACTTTCCGAATGCACTGTATATACTTAACATGGACAACATTACAGTCAACATATGCATGTCGTTATAAAGATAAACAATAATAATTAATTTGAATAACTTCACAAAGTGACAAACTCAACCCTGTCACAGTCTCACAACCTTGTTATGGTCAAACAAGTAACGGGGTTGTGTTTTTTGGCTCAAAATGGCTACTGCTCTTCATGTGGTGAAGAACAGGAGACCACAAGGCATGCATGAAATTAAGAATTTGCATATATTTTGAACTGCTAGGGGCAAAAAGAGCTAGATTTACTTACTAAAAGACCAAAATATAACTTTTGCAATGAACTGACAAAATGAAAAGCAGAATTTGTCATTTAAGTTACTCTTTAATGGTTTGCAATGTTATGTACAATTTGGTTGCATTGCACATATGCAATGTCTCCACCATAGAAATATAACACTATGGACTCCCCTCGGATCATAAGGAAACCTGAGGTAGAAAGAGAATGATAGAAATCTTCAAAATAATCCCACAAGATGACACAAGATTAAAACTCACCATTTTATTATGATAATGTTATTTGATATGACAAATTACAAGTGTATGATGTAACATAAAAACAGTTAAACATATGTATGCATATTTACATTATATATTTATGAAAAGTAACAAGTTACATCTGTATAAAGAAAGTACAACTATGACATGAGTTATTGAACTATACATTTTACATCATATACTTGGAATTTTCAAACCATGATAGAAATACCTAGACATATATAAACCAATATAACCAGAACAAGAGCTGTTAAGTTTTAGATGGAAACTATGATGGACGTGAGGCACTTTTTCAAGGTTGTCAGGATGTGAAGCCAAGGGCACTAAGAAACTGAAAGAAAAGATGCATGAGAAAGAAAGTAAACAGGCAGTGTTTACAGAAGAATTAGAGTACCATTTATACTGCAATTTTCAAAACACAAATGTTTTCCACTATTTAGAACTAATCACGTTACATCATCAAGCGTTGTAATAAGAAAAAAGCATACATACATCATCAGTGCACCAAAGCGTTGGATAATTGAAAAGTAACCACTCAACTGCTGTGAAAATAAACCTTTTTAAACAATACACTGAAGAAATACGTTTATATAGGCATTTCTATTTTAACGCACACAAAGTCAAGAATGTACATTTTTAAGCAATCCAAAGATATGCACACTTTCCAAGATTGAAATAAGTATAAAAGACTAGCAGCAAAGTGGTTAAAAACTGAAGTCTTATGCAAAGTTAACAGGTAAAACATAAATATATTAAAGCAGACAGACATGTTGCATATATAATACAGTACATGATAGCGAGTTACACTATGCTGGTTAATGCAGAATGAAACGGATTATTTCAGTATCTCTCAGAAAAACTTGTATGAATGTACGTCCAACACTTTGCTTCTCAGCCAGCAAGTTTTTAATCAGGTTCATCAAATCTTGGGTTCAGCTTGCAATATGCAGGGCAATCCAAATTACAATATGGGAGAACAAAAACATTGATAAACCAACCAAATGCGCACGCACACACACGGTTATATGCTATCATAGGAACTAGGTATTGTTTAAACAGTCTTTCGTAGCTGACTTTTCACTCAACTCAATAAAAAATTAGTGATTGTATCTAGCAGCTTTATATATATATAGATATAACTTTTTTTTAAATAAGTGGACTGCCACTACTGTACCATGTTAGCACTCTAGCCTTCCTCCCTTCGTAGAAAACTAGAAAGAAACTCCATTAAAAGCTCAATAGTCATTTCCATCATGAACGCCCTCTACTTTCAATGTGAAATAATACTAAAAGGTGACCTATGTACATAATGCTGTCAATTGAAGCTACAGTATATGCTGACAGCAGTGATAAATACAGCTATATCTTTTCATTTCCAAAAAACAAAATGGGATTATTATCAGGTATTTAAATATAGTGTTACTTATTTACAGGTGCTTGGAGTTTGGTACCTGGGGTAACGTGTAAATAGCGTTATTAAAGTGTACCGTCACTGACTCAGTGTGGAGAGAGGTCTATGTGTTTCCCATGGTCAATAGTTTGCATAGAAAGTAAAGAGTGTTGGTTGGTGCCTCGCATGGGGCATAAGGGAGGGATATGGAAGAAGTTGACTGCCCCCATCCAGTCTGGAGACGAGACAGGGTTGCCACTTCCTTTTCTCAAGAAGTGGCGGGCCGGGGGATGGTGTGCATATCTATTGGCTACAGTACAGGGCTGTAATGACAAGCTTTTTAAATAGGGGAGGGCGATTTTCAAACCTTTTGATAACGATTTTGTCTAAATCACGTGTCAAACTCATTCCACGGAGTGTCTAAGGGTTTTTGCTCCACCTTTGTACTTGATTGATGAATTAAGGTCACTAATTAGTAAGGAACTCCCCTCACCTGGTTGTCTAGGTCTTAATTGAAAGGAAAACACAAAAACCCGCAGACACTTGGCCCTCTGTGGAATGAGTTTGACACCCCTGGTCTAAATGATCAAATAAACTAATTTCTTTGTTCTCAAAAACTATTCAGGTACACAGGCAGAAAGATTTATCAAAACAGTTCATTCTGATGTGTGGAATTAGCATACTGTCTTTTAAAGATGCAGTATCGAATTAATACAACCGGGGGTATGTCTACAGTTATTGTTTGTTATCGTGGCTATGTTCCTCTGAGTGAAATATGGATTTCAACAAGGACCTTCATACTGTATCTACCCATCAGCCTTCAACAAAGTCAGGTTTGTTACAACGAGTAAACACATATCAGTTTCTATGATCACTGTGCTTGACGTCTCACTGCCACTGCATATGAAGACCTATGCACATACAGTGTGTAACAAACAATCATACCCATATGCTATAATTACCTATAGGCAAATGCACTTTGTGACATTTAAAAATGAGGCACCTGTTCATTCATGACTGGGCAAATGTTAAACTATGTATTCTAGGAGTTACCGTGGACAAACTGCAAAATGACCTAATAACAGCAGTACATTTGACTCCTTACAAATGCTTCAATCACAAGGGGACAGACATCCAGTACGTTTGAAATATGAAGATGGTGCTGTAACCAAAGCTTGGAGACCAGTGCTTTCAAGGTGGGCTTTTCGCACACTAAATTTGAGTTTTAGTTGGTAATTTCTAGTTGATGACTAATAAAACAAATAAAAAAAAGTGTTTTCCCCAAACTAGCCTGATTTAAGTGCCTTGTTCAACAAAGGGGCACTCAAGACCCCTTACTCACCAACATTAAACTGAAAAACTTGCTGGTTGAGCAAAACTTCAGCTTTAAATAAAAAACAACAGTTTTACCATGAAGCAAAGATGTGATGGAGTCAAAATAGAAAATCTGGTAAAGTACCTGGAATTGTGACATTTTGGTCTCAAGGAAGGTGAGTCAAGAAGTGTTAACATTAATTCTTGACTTGTTCGGAAGATGGAGGATTGCAAAACACATTACCATATTTTCGCTTCTGCTCATGGAATCGATCCCTTTATGTTGGAATGCAATTAAGTGGTCCAAATCACTCTAACATCTAGCTATGTCAGACTGTACCACGAAAATATAAAAAGGTGTTACGTTCTTTTTTTGTTCAACATTTGATGAATAGGAAAAATAAGGAAACACGTACACATCCACCACAGCAACATCTTTGAACTGTTAATTTACTCAATAAGAATGGTCTTAAGGTTAATGTACCATTAGAATTGTGTGAAGGGGGGGTAAAACATTTATAGTGCACTTTAATGCTCGAGTCATAAAGGAACGGCCACTGTTACCCAACTGCAAATTCACAAGAACATATCCCTTTTAGCATACTCAAACACTAAGTATGTTTTCTGTATGCACAATTGTTTTGTTTTGTTTTTTGCTGTTGTTGTGTAGTTTTTGCTCTCTGTACAAAATACAATATTCCTTCATAAAGTTACACATTACTTGTAGGGAGAGTGACATGGTGGCCTGGTTGTTGTGTTTATTATGTACGAGTGTGAGTAAGAGTGTGTGTTTAGTAATATCTCCACGTCTGTTAATCTCAACGCCTTCTCCTCGCGTTCAGCTCCCGAACTTAACTTCACGCTCAGAGCCCGTAAAGCACGAGGTTCGTCTTCCGCTGCTCTCTGCGCCGGAAGACACAAACATCTCCAAAAGACCTCCAGAGCTAGGCGTCTACAACAACGTCACCCCCTCTGAGGTGAATGAAAAACAAGGTTGCCGGTATTTTAATACCCAGCTTTTTTCCGCTTTCCTGTGTCAGCTAGCTGTGTTGTGGGTAGGTCATCCCGGGTGAGGGGTCAGAGTTCATTCAGGTCACCCGGCGGCCTTGTGCTTGCCCCCGCAGCATCTGCAGGCCTCCCCACAGTGGTGGCAGGCTCTCAGTGGCAGGTAGCAGCACATACAGGGAGCGATGAAGGACAGTGCCGTCAGGGCCAGCCAGCGCAGGCAGAACTGCTCGTCAGCCGCGTCACACGAGCAGGGGTCCGAGAAGTCTCCCTCCGAGTCAGACATGCAGTGGTACAGCATGCTCTCGGCACAAAGCATGCAGCTGACTTTATAGATGCACTGCTTGATGGGGTCTGGAGCGTCCTGGCACTGGCCCCGCTGGTTGTCCTCATGGTTGAACATTTCTCGGCAGTAGATACAGCGCGAACGCTCACCGTCCTCCCGCCTCCGCCGCCCTTTTTTGGACTTGAGCAGCGGCGAGGGCTGCGTCTTGATGGATGAGTCTTTACCCAGCCCTAGCCCCAGTCCTGTGCCCATGCCCATACTTCCAGGGGCCGAGTGGGACTCCATTCCCGGCCCCTCGGGGAAGAGGTACTCACACTTCTTGCTGTCCAGTTTGTGGAAGAGGGCAGGGAAGTCAGGGTCCTCTCGCTCTGCCTCCTGCTTCCACATGACGGGGTGGCGGTAGTCCTCGTAACCGCGGATCAGAACGTCCTTACGAGGGTTGATCCTTACAATCTCCTCCTCGTCCATGTGAAAGCTCACGTGGCGCGTAGACTTGAAGGAGACCTGATGGAGACATAGCGTTATTTCATTTAATTCAGTTCAGAGAACACAACAGACATTTTAGCAGTGTGTCAGTATATATTTAATTTATTTGAGTATTCATCTTGAATGATCTTTACTGTCCTTCCATGTCATGTAAGACATTCTTCAGAATAAGTATACCTTATTGAACTAGATCTAACATGGAGGTTTAATCTCTAGTGGCAATAAAGGGCTAATGATATACTGTAATATAGTGGGTCTAGAATAGAGGTCTTCACAGGTCCAACTTACGAAATGGAACATGGCTTTCCCACCCGACCCAATATGAATAAAAAAACATTTTTAAAAATGGAGACACGTTCCGAAAAGGCCTGTGGAAAAACAGACTCGAACAAACCCCTTCCGATTTGGATCCGAAGACCCGTTCAGAGTAGAAAGAAAGAAACCTCAGACTGGGTGCTGCCGGCGCCATCAATAAACTAGCGATATTAGTCAAATGATCAACAGTTGTGTGTCCTTAAAACCTGCCTAAAACAAATACAAAATATTTGTTGTGTTTTGATGTGTAGCATATTCAAAACTTTATAGCCTATTGTTATATTGGTTTTTAAAACAATAATTGTCCACCTCACGGTTCAGCTGTCGGAGATTTGAGTGCTAAATGCGCCAGGGCATTGCATGCATATATGCCTATCGGCATAGGTGTCCACTGTCTGATATTAATATTGAAAAAAATATATACACTACCGTTCAAAAGTTTGGGGTCACATAGAAATTCTTGTTTTCTAAAGAAAAGCAATTTTTTTGTAATTTTTTTTTTACTTATGTAAAATACTTATGTCCACGACTGTGTGGACACGCACAACTCCAACGTTTTCAATAAGTTTGCTGATGACACGACATGGTTGGCCTGATCACCAACGACGATGAGACAGCCTATAGGGAGGAGCTCAGTGACCTGGCAGTGTGGAGCCAGGACAACAACTCATCCCTCAACGTCAGCAAGACAGAGGAGCTGATCGTGGACTACAGGAAACGGAGGGCCGAGCACGCCCCCATCCACATCAACAGGGCTGTAGTGGAGCGGGTCAAGAGCTTCAAGTTCCTAGGTGTCCACATCACTAAGGAATTATCATGGTCCACACACACCAACACAGTTGTGAAGAAGGCACGACAATGCCCCTTCCTCCTCAGGAGGCTGAAAATGTTTTGGCATGGGCCCTCAGATCCTCAAAAAGTTATACAGCTGCACCATTGAGAACACCTTAGTATGGCAACTGCTTGGCATCTGACCGCTCAAGGATTTTACCATGAGGCCAATGATGACTTTAAAACAGTTACAGAGTTTAAAGGCTGTGATAGGAGAAAACTGAGGATGGATCAACAACATTGTAGTTACTCCACAATGCTAACCTAATTGACAGAGTGAAAAGAAGGATGCCTGTACAGAATACAAATATTCAAAATCATGCATCCTATTTGCAACAAGGCACTAAAGTGATACTGCAAAAAATGCGGCAAGGCAATTCACAAAGTGTTATGTTTGGGGAGTACCACTCTCCATTTTTAAGCATAGCGGTGGCTGCATCGCAGTGGAGGCTGCTGGGGGAGGATGATTCATAATAAATGGCTGGAACTAATTAGTGGAAAGGGCCTTTCCACTAATTCCACTCCAGCCATTACTACGAGCCCGTCCTCTCCAGTTAAGGTGCCAACAACCTCCTGTGCTGCATCATGTTATGGGTATGCTTGTAATCGTTAAGGACTGGGGAGGTTTTCAGGATAAAAAAATAAACAGAATGGAGATAAGCACAGGCAAAATCCTAGAGGAAAACCTTGTTCAGTCTGCTTTCCACCAGACACTGGGAGATGAATTCACCTTTCAGCAGGACAATAACCTAAAACACAAGGCCAAATCTACACTGGAGTTGCTTACTAAGAAGACAGTGAATGCTCCCGAGTGGCCGAATTACAGTTTTGACTTAAATCTACTTGAAAATCTATGGCCAGACCTGAAAATGGTTTAAAGAACTGGTTTAGATTCGTAAATAGGCCTACAATAATAATAATGATAAAACAAATGATAATAAACACAAAAATAAAAATAGCGAGTTGCACACAGTCCATTTGGCCACATCAACCTTATTCTCATCTTTGTCCACAATATTCCCCTGGTCGGCTTCTTTTCACTATACTCTTTCTCCTCTAATTTTTGTTTTACTTCAATTAAAAAGGCCATCTTTGCAATCAACAGTAGCCTAGGCCAAGGCTCCTTTCACTCGCTCCCTCTGTCTCTCTCCTCAGCAGCAGGAGCACGTGAGGTGAGTGGCGGAAACCAGTTTCAGCTGGACATAAATTCAGTTTTATTGAGTTGCAATTGGCTGACACAGATAACAAGCAGATAAAAGTAATAATTTAGGGCCCGGTCCCGCTCGGTTCCCGAGTCGGATCTCAGAATTCCAGGTCTGTTGGACCCGTGAAGACTTCTAGTCCAGACATGTTTGGTACTGACCTGAGGAGGCAGGTAGCGGCGGTTGCTGGAGGGAAACTCGTCAAAGGGCTGAGCGCGGACGTAGCAGCCCCGGCAGGGTTCAGTGGACACCACACTGTGGACACTCAGGGGGGAAAAGGGCTCCTTCATGGGCGTACAGATGGAGGGCGGCTCCTCACACAGGGTCTGCAACACAACCACAAAAGTACTATTTTCAATATATCATTCATTTTTCACATTTCACCTTAATTATACAAGGCGCCATTATTATACTTCACAAGTAGGTATAAGAAGCATACCACTGACTCACATTAGCTACAGACACCACTGATATCCTAACTATATTTCTCTCACATTTGTCCACCAGGTAGCGCCCAGAGACCACATTTCTCCTTGTGCCTCTGCCTGTGAGATGAGATGACTCAAGCCCCTTCTGTTGAGAACACAGAGTTCCTAGCAGCCCCCCCATGTGTTCCCACAGGCATTTTATCGGTGTGACAGATCCTAGTCAACTGTATTGGACAACTACTGTTAAGAACTCGAACACACACAAATACAAAATACATGTATACATACACCCACCTGCCTATTAGGTGACAACAATGGACTATGAGTTCTGAGCCCAACCCCAGCAGGAGAGGAAGAACAGGTGTGGAGGAGAGGAAGAACAGGTGTGGAGGAGAGGAAGAACAGGTGTGGAAGAGAGGAAGAACAGGTGTGGAGGAGAGGAAGAACAGGTGTGGAGGAGAGGAAGAACAGGTGTGGAGGAGAGGAAGAACAGGTGTGGAGGAGAGGAAGAACAGGTGTGGAGGAGAGGAAGAACAGGTGTGGAGGAGAGGAAGAACAGGTGTGGAAGAGAGGAAGAACAGGTGTGGAAGAGAGGAAGAACAGGTGTGGAGGAGAGGAAGAAAAGCAGCCATTACAGAGAAAGGCCTTATGGTGAGTTCTTAATGATGGCCAGCACATTTCAGCACTCACACGAGCATGGAGCTCCCATCTGCGCACGTACACACAGACACAAACACACACTCAGACATGCACTCGCACACAAATTCTCACACACATATTGGTACACAACCTTATATGCAGTCACAAAAAGATGCATATTCTCACACAGAGAAGCATATACTTTATATTTCAAACACAAGCAGAAACACACCCTTCCCTCATTCAGGCCTCTCTCGCTGCCTCTCTCTCGCTGCGTGTGGAGGAGGCTGCTGGCTCTGGTTAGTCAGTGCTGTGTGTAAAGTAGCCCACGCCAGTGTTTTAACGCACAGCGGAAATCTGGTTTGCTCCCAGCTGCTGCTACAGTAATTAGTGGTTGCTAAGAGATGCTTCCTTTGACTCTTCCCCCCCACCCCCCCTTTCTCTTCTTACCCACTTCTCTCGCTCTCCCCCCTCAGACTGCTAACAAACCGTGTGTGTGCGCGTGTCTTTTTTCCTCTTGGCTTCTCTGAATGCTAAAATACTGTGTGTGGTGTGTGTGTGTCACACACCCGGTGTGTTAGCAGTCTGAGCAGGAATGCCAGAATAAGGAGAGGAGGGGAGAGAGAAAGAACAGAACAGGAAAAAATAAGTGTGTGTACGTGAGCATATGTATACGTGAGTGTTTATGCATGTGTGTGAGAGAGAGCACGGCCAACAAGTCTGCTGAGGGAATGTCATAAACCAACTCCAGCTGGAGAAATGCAGGCCAGAATTTAAAATGCCAGATGACAGCTGTTTGTGTGTGTGTGTGTGTGTGTGTGTGTTTGTGACTGTGTGAGAAAGAGAGAGAGGGGGTTAGGGGGATGAAATTGGAACCAGACTTGGGCTTCCTTTTAAAGCGCTGCGCTGAGCCCCACCATTCAAAGGCATGCGTGGGGGCCAATCTGGTTCCGATCTGACCCCAGAGATGTTGAGGTGGAGATGGTGGGGGGGGGGGGGGGACCTGGCTCAGGACCAACATCAGAGCTCCACGCAGTTCCACCCTCCCAGGCACACACAGGGGAAGGGGCTGGCCTGCTGTGTGTGAGTGTGTCCTACGTTATGTGTGTGCATATATTCTATCAGTGACTCATAAAGACTCACAGGTCCAAGCATCTGTATGTTCACAGTATTTCACTGTGAAACATCAAGTAAAAAGAATTCAGATGTGTGTTAAAGAGAGGGAGAGAGAAGGGGAGAGAGTGGGATTGTGTATGAGGAGTTCTTCAGTGTTAGGGATGATGACTCATCCCTAGAATGCATCCTCGTAATGCTGCTCAGCCCTGCTCTACAAAGATTCTACTGGGGCTTCTCTCCAGTACGCTTTCTCCTCAACCAAACTACCTAACCTGACTAGAACATTCCAGGCGCCGTTTGACCCACTTCTTTAATCTCTCCAGGACTATAGCACCCCACCTCCTCTCAAAAACCTGATCGAATTGAAATCGCTGCAAACACAAACTACATTTCTACAAGTTCTATCTTCTACATTTAAGATGAGGAGAGGATCACCCATCCTTCTCAGCAGAGGTCGTGCAGTAAAAAACAGATGTGGTTTTGCGTCTCAAACAGCTGTCAAATGGTGCACCTAAACAAGGTTCTGCATAGGCTGTCAAGGAGGGTGGCGGGTGTATGCAATTTGTACAGTATGTCAGCCTTTGAGTGGGTATGTACAGTACCAGTCAAAAGTTTGGACACACCTACTCATTCCAGGGTTTCTCTTTATTTTTACTATTTTCTACATTGTAGAATAATATTGAAGACATCAAAACTATGAAATAACACATATGGAATCATGTAGTAACCAAAAAAGTGTTAAACAAATCAAAATATATTTTAGATTTTTCAAAGAAGCCACCCTTTGCCTTGATGACAGCTTTGCACACTCTTGGCACTCTCTCAACCAGCTTCACCTGGAATGCTTTCCCAACAGTCTTGAAGGAGTTCCCACATATGCTGAGCACTTGTTGGCTGCTTTTCCTTCACTCTGCGGTCCAACTCATCCCAAACCATCTCAATTGGGTTGAGGTCGGGTGATTGTGGAGGCCAGGTCATCTGATGCACCACTCCATCACTCACCTCCTTGGTCAAATAGCCCTTACACAGCCTGGAGGTGTGTTGGGTCATTGTCCTGTTGAAAAATAAATGATAGTCCCACTAAGCGCAAACCAGATGGGATGGCGTATCGCTACCGAATGCTGTGGTAGCCATGCTGGTTAAGTGTGCCTTGAATTCTAAATAAAATCATAGACAATGTCACCAGCAAAGCCCCCCCTCACCATCACACCTCCTCCTCCATGCTTCATGGTGGGAACCACACATGCAGAGATCATCCGTTCACCTACTCTGCGTCTCACAAAGACACGGTGGTTGGAACCAAAAATCTCAAATTTGGACTCATCAGACCAAAGGACAGATTTCCACCGGTCTAATGTCCATTGCTCGTGTTTCTTGACCCAAGCAAGTCTCTTCTTCTTATTGGTGTCCTTTAGTAGTCGTTTCTTTGCAGCAATTCGACCATGAAGGCCTGATTCACGCAGTCTCCCCTGAACAGTTGATGTTGAGATGTCTGTTACTTGAACTCTGTGAAGCATATATTTGGGCTGCAATCCGAGGTGCAGTTATCTCTAATGAACTTATCCTCTGCAGCAGAGGTAACTGTGGGTCTTCCTTTCCTGTGGTGGTCCTCATGAGAGCCAGTTTCATCATAGCGCTTGATGGTTTTTGCGACTGCACTTGAAGAAACTTTCAAAGTTCTTGAAATGTTCCGGATTGACTGACCTTCATGTCTTTAAGTAATGATGGACTGTCGTTTCTCTTTGCTTATTTGAGCTGTTCATGCCATAATATGGACTTGGTCTTTTACCAAATAGGGCTATCTTCTGTATACCACCCCCTACCTTGTCACAACACAACTGACTGGCTCAAATGCATTAAGAAGGAAATACATTCTACAAATTAACTTTTAAGAAGGCACACCTGTTAATTGAAATGCAATCCAGGTGACTACCTCACGAAACTGGTTGAGAGAATGCCAAGAGTGTGCAAAGCTGTCATCAAGGCAAAGGGTGGCTACTTTGAAGAATCTCAAATATATTTTGATTTGTGTAACACTTTTTTGGTTACTACATGATTCCATATGTGTTATTTCATAGTTTATGTCTTCACTATTATTCCACAATGTAGAAAATAGTAAAAATAAAGAAAAACCCTGGAATGAGTAGGTGTGTCTAAACTTTTGACTGGTACTGTATGTGTCGACTGTGTGATTATGCATGTGTGTGTGTGATTATGCGTGTGTGTGTGTGTGATTATGCATGTGTGTGTGTGACTGGCTGTGGGTGTGCGGTGTGTGGTGTCAGGGTGAGAGAGGAAGACTGTGGTGTTCTGGTAGAGGGTGCTGAACCCTGCTGGGCACGATGTGGGCTGATAAGAATGTCCTACACCACACACACACACGGACTGCGGGTTAAGAGGTTCCAGATACCAAGAGACCTGGCTGGCCATCAGAGTATTAGGGGAAAACCAGACATCCCAAAACACTCTACATGGCAGACATGTTCCTAGTCCAGTCCAGCTCATACAGAGAATGACTAGGCTAAATCCAATAAAGGCCCAAATGACGCTCCAGAGTGCCCTCCATCCCATGTCAAAGTGACTCGTCTCGTGGCTCTCGGCTGGGCTACAGCACAAGGTCACTTTCAGCTAAATCAATTCATGTCAGACCTTCGATGAAGAAATGAAACTGAACAAAACTCTGAACAAATGTTTTGTCTGTACACACAGTTCTCGTCATCTGAGTCAAATTCTGTGAAGGAGCGAAGACTGGAACGTGTTAAATGATGAAGAGGTGCAGAGTAATGTCACACATTGTGTGGTGGCATTTAAGTGGAGCGTTCGTTAGCGCTCTCTAGCTGCGTGGCTTGGTGTTAGAGAGTGACTAGCCTCACGGTTTCTCGCCCGTGTAGCTCAGGTCTCGGACCGCAACACTCGGATGCCAAATTACTATGGCGACACCCTCTGTTGCTCACTCACTGAACCCCTCTCCCCCTCTCCTCCCACTGCCTGCTCCTCTGCTGCTTAGCAACAGCGGTGCCATTGGACTTCCTGTATGGCTGATTCCTTAAAGCTGCTCTCCACATGAACAAGAACAGATTCAGCCTCCCTCTCACGCCCTCTGACCTTCTCTACTCCACTCAGTGAATGTCAGATACTGAGGGTCAAAGGTGACTGCAGCCCAGCCACCGGATCACTGACGGACACAAAACCCACAGATACTGGGAACTAAAGAGCAGCAGGAGCTACTAAATGATTGGCTTGGCAGGTCATCTGAAACAAGGCCTTTCGTTAAGAGGTTCAGTTTGCCATGTATACTTAGCAAATACCACGCATTGTACCGTCGTGTCTACTTGTGGTGTTTCAAGGAGCAGTGTTATGTTTCAACAACACACCCAATATCTAAAGCAAAATCAGCTTAGGTGTGTAGTCATATACCTGTACTCCATCTTGTTGAGATTGAGAAAACCTTGCTAACCACACTTGAAAACCTGTAGCTTGTGAAAGCTCAGACTGAGGAGGTCAAAGTGATAACCAACTCCTTTATCAGCTTCCGAACACAATACGTCCGAGCATAGCTCAATCTATTAATAGACGAGGAACATGAGTAAATACGAGTGGCTTCAGATAATCCATGAGGCCAAATGGGAGACATTTCGCCATGTTTATTTATTTTTTTACGCAATTGGGTTCCCCCAGGTATCAGTTTTGACCAGATGACAGATGTGCACACCTAAGCCGTGGGCACACTCAACAACTCCCCAGCAATGGAAGGTAAGGTCCTGGCTGTTCAAACAGACTCAAATCCTAAAGACAACTGGCAGAGTAGAAGACAAAAGGGCCTGAAGTAGTACTGGGATAGTGTTCTGTTGAGCCACTGACTGCTTAGATTTCCCAATGCTTTGCTTCCTGGATTCAAGCACCAGCAAGAGAACTGAAACACACTAGACTAGTGAGAAGTCAAGTTAGTCCTACAGCAAACCTCAGTGCTAGCAAATAGAGACACAGGTACGTGGACTCACCTGTAATCCATCTTCAAGAGAGTCTGAGTCGTCAAACACAGGACAGCCTGGAAAGGAGAAGATTGAATAAAATCAGATATTCAATAAGACTTCCAGCTACACAGATACAGATGAGCTACAGAGAGAGAGACAGAAAGAGACAGAGAGAGTTCACATAACATACAGTATGTCCCCACGTCACCAAGCCATATATTAAAATTCCCTAAAATGTCAAAAAGTCCCCAGACTTCACATGTCCCCACAAGTACGCCACTGGTGATTGAAGGAAGAGGGAAGCCATTGAGGGAGGTATGGTAGGCCAAGACTTACATTCGCCCAAGAACAGCTAAAAGGGGAAATGAAAGCTACTCTGTGTTAGTGGGACACATGGCCTAATGAAATCTGCTCTCGGGTCGAGGCTAAAAAGCCATGACTCAGTCCAAAAATGTTGCATTCACTGACGACAAGTTTCAAGTAAGTTGACTTATGATAAGAATACTAAGTAATTGTACTGTTGAACTTGTACCCGACATCATGTCTAAAAACAAGCTTTTCCTGAAATCTTGGGGAAAATAAATTAGTCCAAAGTTAAATGTTGGCAGTAGTGTAGAAAACAGAGATTAGCTCATTTCCACTGGGACGGACGAAGAGGAAACTGTTTGTACCTGAGGCATCAAGAGGCTCTTTTAAGACTCCCAGTTCACTTAATTAGGATCACCAAGACCTCATTTAAAACGAGCCAGGCAGGCAGCAGGAAAAACCGGACCTCTGTCTGTCCCCGTCTGTACGTCTGTCTGTATATCTGTCTGTGTCTCTCAGTCTAGTTTAGAGAAGAAGACCGTCGGGTCGAAACATTGCACAAGAAAATTGTTGGAGTATTGAACAGTGTGCGGGTATCCATCTTCCTGTCTGTCAGTCTCTGCTACGGTGAGACCCATGCTGTCTGTCTGTCTGTAGCACGTTGAGACAGAGACTTCCTGCAGCACGACTCTGCTAGTGCTGGGCCACGGAGCTGCCAGGGCCATGTGTCCACTGTTGCTATGGCAACTGAGGACCGCAAGGCTGACACACACACTCTTAAACACACACTAAGAAGAACACACACACACCACACTGCAGTCCGGCAGCAGAGCGATGCAACAGGAATACAAAGGAACCTGCTTGTGTGGAGAAGAGGCATTACACAACACTGGTGGAATACAGAGGAAGCCAGAACAGATCAGAGGATACAGAGAGGAGAGGAGTAGAACAGGCTCTGAGAGCGCTGAGAGCCAGGCAGCAGTCATATTATCAATCAGTTAGGAAAGCAGAGGCTAGCTTTTTCAAACAGAAATGTGCATCCTGTAGCACTAACTCCAAAAAGTTCTAGGACACTGTAAAGTCCATGGAGAATAAGAGCACCTCCTCCCAGCTACCCACTACACTGAGGCTAGGAAACACTGTCACCACTGATAAATCTACGATAATCGAGAATTTCAATAAGCATTTTGCTACGGCTGGCCATGCTTTCCCCCTGGCTACCCCTACCCCGGCCACCATCTCTGCACCCTCCGCTGCAACTTGCCCATGCCCCAGTTTATGTACCAGTTTATCACAGTGCCATCCGTTTTGTCACCAAAGCCCCATATACTACCCACCATTGTGACCTGTACGCTCTTGTTGGCTGGCCCTCACTACATATTCGTCGCCAAACCCACTGGCTCCAGGTCATCTATAAATCACTTCTAGGCAAATCCCCACCTTATCTTAGATCATTGGTCCCCATAGCAACACCCACCCGTAGTATGCGTTCCAGCAGGTATATCTCACTGGTCATCCCCAAAGCCAACACCTCCTTTGGCCGCCATTCCTTCCAGTTCTCTGCTGCAAATGACTGGAACGAACTGCACAAATCTCTGAAGCTGGAGACTCTTATCTCCCTCACTAAGTTTAAGCATCAGTTGTCAGAGCAGCTTACCGATCACTGCACCTGTACACAGACCATCTGTAATTAGCCCACCAAACTACCTCATCCCCATATTGTTATTTATTTTGCTCATTTGCACCCCAGTATCTCTATTTGCACATCATCTTCTGCACATCTATCACTCCAGTGTTAATACTAAATTGTAATTATTTTGCACTATGGCCTATTTATTGCCTTACCTCCATAACTTTCTACATTTGCAGATTTTCTATTGTGTTATTTACTGTACATTTTGTTTATTCCATATGTAACTCTGTGTTGTTGTTTTTTATCGCACTGCTTTGCTTTATCTTGGCCAGGTCGCAGTTGTAAATGAGAACTTGTTCTCAAATTGGCTTACCTGGTTAAATAAAGGTTAAATAAATAATAAAATAAATAGCTGGACAAAATTAGGCTACAGGAAATGTGCAATACTGTTAATATTCCCATTTTAGTTTGGGTTTTCAGTGAATTTACGTAAATCACAAAGCTCATCTGCATTTCCTGCGGTGCAGGAAAATTCTCAACAAACGTGTGATCAAATTAAGATCCTACACCTGTACCTTAAAGCCTGAACTCCAAATTTCACACACAGCCCCTATCCTGACCTAAATGCATCCTTCAGCTTGTGCCCCTATCCTCTGACTCAACTGTCTGGGCACAGGCTTGGGGTTGTCAGTCTGTACAGGAAGTTGTGCCATTATGTCCTCCACAGCTGGCACAGATAAGATAGGAGAGCCAATCATGGGTGAGTGAGCAGGGAGCAGGGGAAGTCATCACAGCTAATCAACACTAAGCATCTACCACCAGGAGAACAGACAGCAGGTCAACCATTACATGCCACAGACCAACCCACAAACACACGCAGACACACACACACAGAAACGAACACACACAAATTCATACAAATACAGGCATAATGTCAGAGGCAAGGAGTCTACAAAAGCATGAGTTCTGTGAGGTGAGACTGTACTGAGGTGGACTGAAGCTCAGGGGTCCTTCCTAACCCACCTTGGTTGATGTCCTCGATGGCCCTGCGGATCCCTCTATCGAAGGCCCTGGCGTCGGCAGGACTCTGGAATGTCAGGCCAAACTTCTTGTCGTTGATCCTCCAATGGTGGAATATGGGGTTGACCTTGTTGTAGACCAGGTCCTTCTTTAGAATACACTCCAGAACAACCTGAACACAGAGAGCCATCTGTTAGTGACTTGAAGTTCCCAATTTTATTACATTGACATTTTAGTCATTTAGCAGACGCTCTTATCCAGAGTGACTTACTGGAGCAATTAGGGTTAAGTGCCTTGCTCAACAGAACATACTGATTTTTCACCTAGTCGGCTTGGGGATTCAAACCAGCAACTTTTCGGTTACTGGCCCAACGCTCTTAACCGCTAGGCTACCTGCCCAGATGGTAAAATGTTGGACCCACTACTTTAATGCAGAATAAGCTAGCTTCTAGCTTTCTCCAGAAGCAGCAAGAAAGCCCCAAAATCAGTTTCCTCACTCAATAAGCAATGCCGTTTTATGGTTAAGTAGAAATCCAGCATGGTATAGGAGTGTAAAATCACTCAATGGAAACTATGCTATTTACCCCTGTCTGAGGGAACCTTTGAGGAACAGACATTTAACCTCCATCTTATTCAACACCCTAAGCTGTTTAAATGTGTCACGTTTAATTACAACACAACACGAAGCGCGTGGAGAAAAATGAAAAGCCCCAACCCTGTCCCAACACTGGATATGAGGAGAAACTTCTGAAAAATAGAAACACTCCAAGTCCCCAATAATTAACCCTAACCCTTCCCCCCCTCTTCATTTGTAAAACACATTACAATATAGTGGGGCTTTATTTTACAAATGATAAAGCTGGAGTTATGATACGTTTTGGAGCCAGGCACAGAAACTAAGTGTGTGAAAGAGAGACGGTTGCTTCCAAAAGCCTATTATTAATCAAGACTGCTAGATGGTCTCCAGCCCTTCCTCTAGGCAGATTAAATGAAATGAGATACGGCCATTAGTCTTTGAGGCTTTGGGTGAATGTGCACGACGACGAGGGCTGAGTGAGTGAGAGGGGGCGCGTGCACGTTGGGTAGAATGAGGGAGGGAAGGAAGGGACGACATTGTTGTGTGGTAACTTGTGCATTCTGTTTGATGTGCATGTTTGAAACCGTTATTTGGTGGTTGTCTATGACATGGTAATTTGTGCTATATTGTCACGTTTATAACCAAACGGCAGTATTAGTAAATAAAGATTGGTAATAACATTTAATTGTACCTATGCAAAAACAATATAAGAAACCCCTAAAACAAATCACCAGTCAAAGAAAGTCAAGCCCCTACGGCATCATGATGGTCAGTATCTAAATCATTGTCAACGTGTACACCTTTGTCTATGTTTGATAAGAGAGCATAGGTGGAAGCTGTATGTGTGGGTGTGTGGATATGTGATATATCTGGTGTGTGACTGATCACATGAGTAGTGCACAAAAACATTCATGTATTACAAATAGGCCTATTAGCTGTAAATGCAGGTGTGTATTAGACAGGAGTGTGTCTCGCTCGCCCAGAGAAAGAGAGGAATAAGAAACAGCAGTAAGAAAGTGAGCAGTAAGGGTTTAGCCCTTGTGTTTACACAGAGCCTGTGGAGGGAAGGAGGGAGGGAGAGGGAAGGAGGGAGGGAGAGGGAAGGAGGGAGGGAGAGGGAGGCGTGAGGGGGTGTCTGCCTCTGGGGCTGATTGTGGGAGGCGAGACTGAGCGGAGCCGGAGTGGGTAAGGTGAGCGGCTAGCCTGGGAGAGGAGGACGTATCGCTGTTGAGGAAGGATGACACTCAATACCACATTCATTCAACACAGGGAAATAGAGAGGTGGAGCCACAGAAAGGTGGAGAGTAGAGACCAGAGAGAGACCTAGAGAGCGAGGGAGAAAGTGAAAATACAGATGTAGGCTCTTAGTTTGAGCCAGTCTCCTACAGCAGGAAAATAATCATGCAGCAACAGGAAGTGTGAATTTTTATGTATGGACATTTTTGTAGAGGTACATTTTTCGTAAGGGAAAATCAAGTCTGAAACTTAAACGTGGAAATTACAAACTGTAGAAGCCTTTTTAAACCTCAAATACACCAAGTTCTCCTGCAACAGGGTGATCAAATTAAGATCCTATGTATGTAGGAGACAGAGGTGGAGCGAGAGAGAGGGAGGGATTGGTAATGAGATAGTGAGAGAAAGAAGGAGAGAGAAGATCAATTTAATTCAGTGAGAGTCTTAACAGATTGGGGGAGTTTGAAGGAGGGGGACTGATTCCACTCTGGGATGTTGTCAAGAGGACAGGACTGTTTCTCTGTGTGAGAGCAGAGGACAAGCAGACACCAAACAGCAGACACACCAAATCAGAGAGATAGATGCCACATCCATCCATTCAGTTATCCATTTGATAATCTACCAAGCAGCAATGCTATATCTATAAACTAATTCCAAAAACAACTTCCGATACACATAGAGTAACTGGGGCACAGTCCTCTTAGTTTGTACGATCTCTTATCTTTATTCATTTATGGGTTAAAATCCTGAAGGAAATTCGTTGGTTCAGGAAAAAAGATTACAAATCATTCTCAATCACTCCAATACAAAAGTAGCCTATTAGGCAGGCTACACAAATAAATAAGTACATCTAAGAAGGTTAGGTTAAATCTAGCAGTGGAGAAAGAACTGCCATATTAGAGAGAGTCAGAGAGTTTAGAGAGAGAGAGCTGTTATAATCTGAGAGCTGGTAATTCAGCAGCCAATAAAATCTGTGCTCTTTAACAAACACACAGAGAATGAGCGAGAGAGGGGGAGAGAGAACAGAGAGAGAGACGGGGCGACAGAGAGAGAACAGAGAGAGAGAGAGAACAGAGAGAGATAACAGAGAGCCAACAGAGACAGAGAGAACAGAGCGAGAGAACAGAGTGAAAGAGTGAGAGAGAGAGGAGAGAGAACAGAGAAAGAGAGAACAGAGAGAGAGAACTGAGAAAGCGAGAGCGGGAGGGAGAGAGAGAAAGAGCAAGAGGGGGGGAGAGAACAGAGAGAGCAAGAAAACAGAGCGAGAGAGGGGGAGAGAGAGAGAATAGAGAGAGAGAACAGTGTAAGAGAGCAGAGAGAGAGAGCAGAGAAAACAGAGTGAGAAAGAACAGAGAGAGAACAGAGAGAGAGTGAGTGAACAGCGAGAGAGACAGAACAGAGAGACAGAACAGAGAGAGAGAGAGAACAGAGAGAGCAAGCGAACAGCGAGAGAGTGAACAGAGAGAGTGAACAGAGAGAGAGAAAGAGAACAGAGAGAGAACAGACCAACCAACCTGCACATGTCCTCTATATTGTTATTGTTCAATGGTTATTTTATTGTTGTTACTGTTGTCCCGAATAGAGAGAAAGTCAGCGAGAGAAAGAAGGGGAAAAGAACAGAGAGAGAACTGAAAGAGAACAGATAGAGGGGTAGAGAGAACAGAGAGAGAGAACAGAGAGAGAGAACAGAGAGAGAGAACAGAGAGAGAGAGAGCGCAAGCTAGGGAGAGAGAGGAGAGAGAACAGAGGGGGAGAGAGAGAAAGAACACAAAGAGAACAGAGAAGGAGAGAGAGCAAGAACAGAGAGAGAGAACAGCGAGCGAAAGAGAGAGGGGGAGAACAGAGAGAGAGAAAACAGAGAGAGAGCGTGAGAGAGAAAGCGAGAGGCAGAGAGAGAGAACAGAGAGAGAACCGAGGGAGAGAGAACAGAAAGAGAAAGAGATCAGAGAGAAAGAGATCGAAAGAGAAAGAGGGGGAAGAGAACAGAGAGATAACTGAAAGAGAACAGAGAGAGTGGGGAGAGAGTGAACAGAGAGAGAGAACAGAGAGAGAGGGGGTAGAGGGAACAGAGAGAGGGGTAGAGAGAACAGAGAGAGAACAGAGAGAGAGCACAGAGAGAGAGCGAGAGAGAGCGAGAGAGAACACAGAGAACCTACAGAGAAATTAACCTGGAGAAGAGTCCCCTCAGCAAGCTGGTCCTGGGGCTCTGTTCACAAACACAAACAGACCCCACAGAGCCCCAGGACAGCAACACAATTACACCCAACAAAATCATGAGAAAACAAAAATATCATTATTTGACACATTGGAAAGAATTAACAACAAAAAAACAGCGCAAACTAGAAATGCTATTTGGCCCTAAACAGAGAGTACACAGTGGCAGAATACCTGACCACTGTTACTGACCCAAACTTAAGGAAAGCTTTGACTATGTATAGACTCAGTGAGCATAGCCTTGCTATTGAGAAAGGCCGCCGTAGGCAGACCTGGCTCTCAAGAGAAGACAGGCTATGTGCACACTGGCCACGAAATGAGGTGGAAACTGAGCTGCACTTCCTAACCTCCTGCCAAATGTATGACCATATTAGAGACACATATTTCCCTCAGATTACACAAACCCACAAAGATTTCGAAAACAAATCCAATTTTGATAAACTCCCATATCTATTGGGTGAAATACCACAGAGTGGCATCACAACAGCAACATGTGTGACCTGTTGCCACAAGAAAAGGGCAACCAGTGTAAATACAAAACCATATTTATGCTTATTTATTTTCCCTTTTGTACTATATCTTTACAAAACTGTATATAGCCATAATATGACATTTGAAATGTCTCTATTCCTTTGGAACTCTGAGTGTAATGTTTACTGTTCATTTATATTGTTTATTTCACTTTTGTTTATTATCTATTTTACTTGCTTTGGCAATGTTAACATATGTTTCCCATGCCAGTAAAGCCCTTAAATTGAAATGAGAGAACAGAGAGAGATCAGAGAGAGAGATAACAGAGAGCGAGAACAGAGAGAACAGAGGGAGAGAGAGATAGGACAGAGAGAGAGAGAGAACAGAGCGAGAACAGCGCGAGAGAGAAAAGTGTGCACGCGAGAGAGAAGGCCCATTGGTGGCAATATCAGGAGCCAGCTGACTCATCAGTACACTCTGTGCCGCATCATTACGCTTATTGGCAGATCCCCTCCAACATTGCAGTCACCACCTCATCTCTCCATCTCCCCCTCACTTTCTCTTCTTTCAGTCTCTTTTTTTACAGTTTGACTGGCCATCTCACGCTCTTTTTCCTCCCCTCCATCTCTTTCACTGATCCCTTCTTTCTCTCGCTCCCTGGCTCTGTCTCCATCTCTTCCCATGTTCCCATTGTCTGTAGTAAAATGGTGGTTTGGACCTCCCGCTTTAACAAGCCACTGGGGTGGGTGACATCACCAGAATCATGCTCCATGTAGCACGGTGACCCAGGCTCAGAATAGACAGTTACACTGAAAGTGGCATAGCAGGCAGGAGCCACTTCTCTACGACACTTAATGAAGACAGTCATCTCTTCATTCTTGTCAAAGGAAATGGTCATCAATATATTATTTAACATGAAAAAAGAGACGTAAGGGCATGATAGTTTTAGGACGAGAGCATAGGAATATTTGACTAGAATCAGTGCTCAGAGCACCAATATCCGTTCAATTCTTTCCATCCTTTTTCCTCTATCTTTTTAGTTTGAATTCCTACATCCCTCATCCCCCTCTTCTGAGCAGTCTGCCCTTCTCTTCTCTCTGATGATGTCAGCATGCATCACACACTCATTCAGCCCGCTCCTATTTACAGATACCTTCCCTGCGCAGCGGAGGAAAGCCAAACAGCCACTTCCTGTGTGACTGTGTGTGTAAGGCGGAGGCTGATGGTGATCTCATCCCACGACCCCCTCGCTGTGGAATGTGTCACAGGCTGAGTCGATGCATAGTACATAGCGAACATGCTTGCTCTCCATTGTGATAGATTAGTGTGTGTGGTGTGTATGAGGCCCTCAGAGTGAGTGTGAGTTGCATGGCGAGGAGTGTGAGGTGTGTAAGGTTTGTGTAAGGAGTGTGTGACTCCCTGAGTGGGAGGTTTGTATAGTTTTATATGATTCTTAGGCTACATGTCACTAGGTTGGGTGATATGGCCCAAATATCATATCACAACATTTCCCAATTTTTTTACGGTATTTGATGTTTTTGAATAATAAAAGTTCTACATTTGCTTTATGAGCAGTGCATGACTCTAGGGTGGCAACACATACATTCTAAGGGATTTAAAAAATGGGGCCTTCTCCATTCTGATTGAACAGTATAGAACAATCAAACTTCAACCAAAAATCATTTTTCAGCAATTTCTGCATTTCCTCATTTGAGATCGTTTCCACATAGGGCTGCACGATATGGGCAAAAAATCTAGGCCTTGTTTTTAACCAAATATTGCAATTGCGATTTAGATCAAAACGCTTGGGTGAACTGTTGGAATAATGGAAATAGAATAATTATTCTAATTCTATATTAAGAATTTAATCGTGGGCACTTTGAATACAGGTTTAAAAAAAGGGGGAGGTCACAATTGTTTGTACACTTGTTTACATGGATATGCTTCTTAATAAAAACCTATTTGAAACAAGCCATTACACTTCTTTATTATCAATGCATTTCATTATTATTATTCAGGTTATTAGTTATAAACATTAATAAACAAATTAAGAAATGACAGGTTGGAGAGGATCTGTCGCATTTTTGTATTGACGCAACATTAACAGAGTCAAAATAAAGATATATTCCTACCATGTCCTTGTCTGTTGGCTTTTCTGCATATGAAAAAAATACAGATCCTATTACGACGAACAAAACCATTTAAACAAAGTCCGATGGGTTCTCCTACTTTCCCAAAATATTCGCATAACGTCACAAACCCTGCTACTACGGTCATTCTTCAAAGAGAGGACGCCATATTGAGAGAAATTATGTAGCCTAAGCTACTGAAAACCGGCCTTTTACAAGACTAAATCATGAGATTGAGTCCAGACAGGCTACTTTAGGAAACCTTCTGAATGGACATATTCAGACCCCTTCCCCTTTTTCACATTTTGTTACTAAAATTGATTAAATTATTTTATTTCCTCATCAATCTACACACAACACCCATTAATGACAAAGCAAAAACTGGTTTTTAGAAATTCTTGCAAATGTATTAAAAATAAAGAATAAGAATACCTTATTCAGAGCCTTTGCTATGATACTGGACATTGAGTTCAGGTGCATCCTGCTTCCATTGATCATCCTTGACATGTTTCTACAACTTGGGAGTCCACCTGTGGGAAATTCAATTGATTGGACATGATTTGGAAAAGCACACACCTGTCTATATAAGGTCCACAGTTGACAGTGCATGTCAGAGCACAAACCAAGCCATGAGGTCGAAGGAATTGTCCGTAGAGCTCCGAGACAGGACTGTGTCGAGGCACAGATCTGGGGAAGGGTACAAAATAAATTCTACAGCATTGAAGGCCTCCATCATTCTCAAATGTAAGAAGTTTGGAACCACCAAGACTCTTCCTAGAGCTGGCCGCCCGGCCAAACTGAGCAATCGGGGGAGAAGGGCCTTGGTCAGGGAGGTGACCAAGAACCCAATGGTCACTTTGACAGAGCTCCAGAGTTCCTCTGTGGAGATGGGAGAACCTTCCAGAAGGACAACCATCTCTGTAGCACTCCACCAATCAGGCCTTTATGGTAGAGTGGCCAGACGGAAGACATTCCTCAGTAAAATACACATGAAAGCCTGCTTGGAGTTTGCCAAAAGGCACCTAAAGACTCTTAGACCATGAGAAACACGATTCTCTGGTCTGATGAAACCAAGATTGAACTCTTTGGCCTGAATGCCCAGCGTCAGATCTGGAGGAAACCTGGCAGCATCCCTACGGTGATGCATGGTGGTGGCAGCATTATGCTGTGGGGATGTTTTTCAGCGGCAGGCACTGGGAGACTAGTCAGGATCGAGGGAAAGATGAACGGAGCAAATTACAGCAAGATCCTTGATGAAAACATGCTCCAGAGCGCTCAGGACCTCAGACTGGGGCAAAGGTTCACCTTCCAACAGGACAACGACCCTAAGCACACAGTCAAGACATTTACATTTTAGTCATTTAGCAGACGCTCTTATCCAGAGCGACTTACAGTTAGTGAGTGCATACATTTTCATACTGGCCCCCCGTGGGAAACGAACCCACAACCCTGGCGTTGCAAGCACCATGCTCTACCAACTGAGCTACAGGGGACAACACAGGAGGGGCTTCAGGACAAGTCTCAATGTCCTTGAGTGGCCCAGCCAGAGCACGGACTTGAACCCGATCGAACATCTCTGGAGAGACCTGAAAATAGCTGTGCAGCGACCCCATCCAACCTAACAGAGCTTGACAGGATCTGCAGAGAAGAATGCTTCAACAAAGTACTGAGTAAAGGGTCTGAATACTGTAAATGTGACATTTCATTTATTATTTTTTTTAAATATATTTGCAAAAATTTCTAAAAACCTGTTAGCTTTGTCATTATGGGCATTATGTGTAGATTGATAAGGGAAAAAAACAATTTAATCAATTTTAGAATAAGGTTGTAACCTTACAAAATGTGGAAAAGTCAAGGGGTCTGAATACTTTCCGAATGCATAATAATAAATAATAATATGCCATTTAGCAGACGCTTTTATCCAAAGCAACTTACAGTCGTGCGTGCATACATTTTTGTGTATGGGTGGTCCCGGGGATCAAACCCACTACCTTGGCGTAACAAATGCCGTGCTCTACCAGCTGAGCTACAGAGGACCACATTGTAGGCCTACAGAGAATCAGCGAACTCATACACCCACAGCCCCGTCAAAGCACCCGTCAATCAAAGCCACCAGCGTATGTCAGAGAAGAGAGCAAATATTTATCCTTTCCTTAAACGTTTTAAAAACCTAGGCCTACCTTAGGCTTTCCGAAAGTAGGCTATAAGATAATCAATTGACAAGGAAAGTATGAAGATGAATTTGACAATCATTAAAATAGAAACAAATACATGCAACATGTCCATAGCCTATTAATCAGTAATGCTGATTATCGAGGAGTAGTGTTGGAATGATTTTTAAAATACTGAGAGGAACTATTATAATTTTAATGGATAACTTGGTTGATTTACTGTGTGAGGTGAAGAAAACAATGACATAAGCACTGTTGGGCACATTCCTACTTTTGACATTTGCGAGAAGCAGGCCAGGTACTTCTATGCGTGCTCCGTCAACATCAACAGGACAGAGAAACCAGACATATGCTCATTGCGTACATGGAGTGCGTAAATTATGGTATAAAATAAACCAAAAATTGTTTCTCACAAGTGTAGCAGGTTGTGAACTCTGCAAACAACGTTTCCACTCCAACAATGATAATGGTAAATTACTGTAATGAATACATGCATTAACAGAAATTAATGTAACCATCTGACAGGGATTAATGGTAAATTGCCTGTTTTACAAACGGTAGGTTACCACATGGCCATTCATAAAAGTGTATTTCGGCTGATACTGTATAGCCTAGGCTACGATTCTACTTTGCAGGGATAAGAGGGCAGTCATTTCCTTGGTCTCGCCTAGGGCGGCATATTGGCCAGGATCGGGCATGATCAGTGTTGATTAGTCTAGAAATTAAGAAAATATTCATATTAAATTATACCATGCCAGGTTGGAGAGGATTGCCGCATTGTCCATTTGACACAACATTAGCGCATTATAGGCCTCAATAGTCAGACATATCCAACGTTTTTTTTAAAAGACCAATGTATTTAATTACTAGCAAGCAATGAAAACCTGCATTGTATAAAAAAAAGTCCATACATCAAATACATTTTTACTGAAGTGCCATAGGAGATGTAGAAAGTTTAATATACAGACTAGGTTAGAAAAACAATTGCTTATAATCATTAGTAAACACTCCCACTATTACGTAAAGTTTATCTACATTAAAATAACGTTAATAAAAACTTAAATACATACTAAAATGAATGTAGGCCTGTTTAAACGGTTTTGACGGTTATTTTATAGCTTAAATGAGGAGAATTGCACTCGATGTGTGTGTGTAGAAAGCGAGGTGGACCCTTACCGATTTGTCTTTGAGCCGCTCCCCCTTGATGAGGAAGTCTGCTGTGGTGGTGGTGGTGTTTGGGTCTGTGGTGCTGCTGTTGCTGTCGCTGTCCGGTGTCCGGCTGACTTTGTAGACGGTGACGCAGCTGAGGCCCCCGGCTCCCAGAGGCAGCCACCCACCGCTGGAGTCATCCCGAGTCATGACCACTGCTCTCACACGCGCATAACTGTCACTGAAGACAGAGACAGAGAGAAAGACATGGTTAGGGTGGGACTGTAACAAGACCACGGCATCAACTACCTCTGTATATAGAGAGAACACAGATACTATGACAACACAACCATGTCGCCTCACGGGTACAGGGCTGCCATTGCACACACAGAGAACATGGTTAGGCATAATGACGGCAACACGACCACTGCTTCAACACATGCATGACTTGTCACTAAAGAATAGAACACACACACACACCATAACCGACCGTAATGTGACACTCACAAATGTCAGTAAGAGTGAGAGAGAGAGAAATAGAGAGAGGACAACAGAAAGAGAGTTGGAGGTGTCAGAGAAACACACAGTAATTAGAAGTGACAGGTCATGAAATACAATGGCAGGAGGGCCTGAAAACCCAACACATCCCAAAAACAAGAGGATATTAAAACCTTGAACAATCATTTACAACCTCCGTATCTCATGGGCTTTTATGAGATGTCACTGACCGATGTAGGGCCCTATATCTTTTTTTTTTGCCCGATTCCACTTTCTCCCAAATTCAGATTTCTCCGTTTTGTTTTTCCAGGTTTCCAGTTCAGGTTTTAACTCTCAAAAATCACCGGCTCAGCGCGTGCGTCCGTGTGTGCCATCGTGCGCATGTTGATTTTGTCTAACCCTACCAGACAGTTCATGACACGCAGGTTAACTAACTACCAACTATACTGAACAAAAATATAAAACACAACATGTAAAGTGTTGGTCCCATGTTTCATGAATAAAAGGCCACTAAAATGTGCAGTTGTGTCACACAACACAATGCCACAGATGTCTCAAGTTGAGGGAGCGAGCAATTGGCATGCTGACTGCAGGAATGTCCACCAGAGCGGTTGCCAGAGAATTGAATGTTAATTTCTCTACCATAAGCCACCTCCAACATCATTTTAGAGAATTTGGCAGTACGTCCAACAGGCCTCACAATCGCAGACCATGTGTAACCACGCCAGCCAAGGACCTCCACATCCGGCTTCTTCACCTGCGGAATCGTCTGAGACCAGCCACCCGGACAGCTGATGAAACTGTGGGTTTAAACAACCGAAGAATTTCTGAACAAACTGTCAGAAACCATCTCAGGTAAGCTCATCTGTGTGCTCGTTGTCCTCACCAGGGTCTTGACCTGACTGCAGTTCGGCGTCGTAACTGACTTCAGTGAGCAAATGCTCACCTTTGATGGCTACTGGCATGCTAAAGAAGTGTGCTCTTCACGGATGAATCCCGGTTTCAACTGTACCGGGTAGATGGCAGACAGCGTGTCGCGCTGCATGAGGCAAAATGGTAGTCATACCTGATACTGACTGGTTTTCTGATCCACGGCCATACTTTAAAAAAAATATGTTTAAGGTATCTGTGACCAACAGCTGCATATCTGTATTCCCAGTCATGTGAAATCCATCCATAGATTAGGGCCTAATGAATTTACTTAAATTGACCGATTTCCTTACAGTTCATATAACTCAGTAAAATCTTTGAAATTGTTGCATGTGGCATTTATATTTTTGTTCAGTGTTTATTAATTTGAGGACAGGTTGAAACACACATGAAACATTCATGGACATTTAGCTAACTTGCTGTTGCTAGCCAATTTGTCCTCGTAGATAAACATTGGGTTGTCATTTTACCTGAAACGAATATGTTCCTTTTTTCCCACTGGATCGTTGTAAATTTGGACCCATTTTCAGTCACACAAAATCATGTGTTCCCTACTTCGACAATTAATCCACAGATAAAAGGGGAAACCTAGTTTATTTTATTTTATTATTAATCTCTTCATATTTATTCTTCTTCTATGGATTTTATATGGCGGTTGGCAACCAACTTTAAGGTACATTACCGCCACCATCTGGAATGGAATGTGGACCTCGCTCATCTTTCAATCACCCACGTGGGTTAGTATGTTCCTAAAAACCAATGAGTAGATGAGAGAGGCAGGCCTTTCAGTGTGTCAAGTGTCTAAAATAGAACCAAGTTCTATTTTAGCACCGGGCTACGCAGACGCCCGTTGACGCGTGCGAGCAGTTTGGATGAAATGATTGAATAACATGTACATTTATTTTGCAACGCTCACGCACGCAACAGGGGTGGTTTGGTCAGCATGTTTTGATAATCTTGGGCAAATTAATGCATTTTCAAATAAGTTCAGTACATTTAGTTGATGTCCTACTAAATTCAATACATGTTTGAATATTGTTGAATTCCGTTTTAATGTCTGGATTCCATGACTCCATCAGCGTTCTCCACAAGGTATGGACAGGAGCATAAAAGGCTCATCTGTTTTTTTTTAAAGGCCTATGGGTTTAAGAGAGTTTGTAAAGATACCAACACCTATAATCAATCCCAGGTTACCATAAACTAAAACCCACCATGGATATAACTAAGTAGTGACACATTAAAAGCCCAAACATACAGTCCCAGTCAAAAGTTTGGACACACCTACTCATTCCAGGGTTTTTCTTTATTTTTTACTATTTTCTACATTGTAGAATAATAGTTAAGACATCAAAACGATGAAATAACATGTGGAATCATGTAGTAACCAAAAAAGTGTTAAACAAATCAAAATACATTTTACATTTGAGATTCTTCAAATAGCCACCCTTTGCCTTGATGACAGCTTTGCATACTCTTGGCATTCTCTCAACCAGCTTCATGAGGTAATCACCTGGAATGCATTTCAATTAAACAGGTGTGCCTTCTTAAAAGTGAATTTGTGGAATTTCTTAAAAATAAAGAAAAACCCTTGAATGAGTAGGTGTGTCCAAACTTTTGACTGGTAGTGTATGTCAGAGCCAGAAAGTCATTGTCTTTGTGTGTGTGTGGTCAGTCAGTGCATACGATGTGTCCCACTTCTTGGAGGCCAAACAGTGGTTGAGTGACCATGTGGCCAGGCTACAGACTCCAGAGTCAGGCTCATGCTGTGGCCTCACTTTTCCACTACAGCAGGCAGGTAGCGGAGGCTGTCACTGTTAGGTTACTGTAGTGAATGTATCCAGCCATCTTCCCTCTCCCTGCAGTCTGATGGCTCTCAGATTATATAAGAACATTCCTCTGGGCCACCGGAAACGACAGCACGTTACAGAACCTACTAGTAACATATTAAAGGCGGAGTGAGTGAGTGAGTGAGAGATATACCGCGAGACGTCTTTCTCTGTGGCATGTTGCACCCTCACAGGGGTTAGAGTTTATTAACCTATTGATGAAGCAGCCAGCACCACTGGATTTGGTTGACAATGGGTATTTACCCCCTTCTGTTTAATGTAATCAATTGTAGTAGTCAGTGAGCCAGGGATGAGGGATAAAATGCCAAATTATGCTTGATTTTGCAGATGAGCCCTGCATGAACACATCAATAAACAACAATTACACTATACATATCTAAGGCTGAAACGTAACAAAATGTGGGAAAGGTCAAGGGGTCTGAATACTTTCCGAATGCACTGTACATACACATCAATTATGCAATACATGAAAAGCAAAACACAATCATATGAAACAAACACATTCTTCAGTAAAAAGGCCCTCTAACATCTGCATGAATTGCCCTAGAGGCACCAACTCCACCAGCTGTGGCCCTTTACACTTGTATCCGTATAAGGGTTGAAAATGGCAAATTTGGACACTGATAAGCGTCTAAATTGGAACGCAGTGGCTGTGAAGTAACATAGTATACATGAAGTCAGAGCTCAGGGTCTCTGCTTCACAGCTCTGTATGGGTTTTCACTGACCGCCGTTCTGAACTTGAGCACCGCGTGAGACAAGAACTTTTGCAGTTTTTGTTGCCCGAGTGAGAGAAATGCTGTAAATTACGGAGACTATGTATTTTGAAAGATGAGATGTTGAGGTTTATAATAAATTCTCTGGCTGCAGTCTGTCGACACACAAGCAAGCCAAACACCCAGGAATCTAAATGTGCACCTCAAATTTCCATATCATAAAACGTTTGTATGCTAATATAGTCTCAACGTTTATGATCACTATGTTTGATGTACAGTTACAAGATGATATGGCGTTATACCCTGGGTTGTCCTGAACAGAATAACCATTTTTGGATTGTGTAAACAGTAATATAAAAGGCGGGAATGCAGGGCTATGTTCCAAAGTAAACAACTACAAGTGTGCTTGCTCTAGTTCCTCAACAGCACAGCTAGGGGAACAAAAAAAAGCACCTTATAGTTGAAGACTCTTCTATGAGTCATAAAAGTGCATCAATCTACGAGACTTCAAAAGAGGGCCAGCCTACTTTCTGATACAAAATGCAATGACGTATACTGAACCTATCGCCCATAATAAAGTACAATGCGCTATGATAAACTGCGTCCAATGGCTTCAATACAGTGGCAGCTGCATAATTGGAATGAATGTTGACTGAATTATTTGTTTTCTGCTATTTAACGAAAGACAATACCTATTCCTATAGAAGGAGCCTATTTTGATTCTTAATTTCTTAACTAACTCATCAACAAGCTTTTTGAAAGATGGCTTTTCGTCAATCCAGATAAACAGGAACATGATCAATGAGGGCATCATCCAAAGCACAGTTGAAGTCAGAAGTTTACATACACTTAGGTTGGAGTCATTAAAACTCGTTTTTCAACCACTCCACAAATTTCTAGTTAACAAACTATAGTTTTGGCAAGTCAGTTAGGACATCTACTTTGTGCATGACACAAGTAATTTTTCCAACAATTGTTTACTGACAGAGTATTTCACTTATAATTCACTGTATCACAATTCCAGTTTACATACACTAAGTTGACTGTGCCTTTGAACAGCTTGGAAAATTCCAGAAAATGATGTCATGGCTTTAGAAGCTTCTGATAGGCTAATTGACATCATTTGAGTCAATTGGAGGTATACCTGTGGATGTATTTCAAGGCCTACCTTCAAAGTCAGTGCCTCTTTGCTTGACATCATGGGAAAATCAAAAGAAATCAGCCAAGACCTCAGAGAAAAATGTGTAGACCTCCACAAGTCTGGTTCATCCTTGGGAGCAATTTCCAAATGCCTGAAGGTACCACGTTCATATGTACAAACAATAGTACGCAAGTATAAACACCATGGGACCACGCAGCCGTCATACCGCTCAGGAAGGAGACACATTCTGTCTCCTAGAGATGAACTTACTTTGGTGCAAACCAATCCCAGAACAACAGCAAAGGACCATGTGAAGATGCTGGAGGAAACAGGTACAAAAGTATATATATCCACAGTAAAACGAGTCCTATATCGACATAACCTGAAAGGCCGCTCAGCAAGGAAGAAGCCACTGCTCCAAAACCGCCATAAAAAACGGTTTGCAACTGCACATGGGGACAAAGATCGTACTTTTTTGAGAAATGTCCACTGGTCTGATGAAACAAAAATAGAACTGTTTGGCCATAATGACCATCGTTATGTTTGGAGGAAAAAGGGGGTTGCTTGCAAGTCGAAGAACACCATCTCAACCGTGAAGCACGGGGGTGGCAGCATCATGCTGTGGATATATTGTAGCAACATCTCAAGACATCAGTCAGGAAGTTAAAACTTGGTCGCAAATGAGTCTTCCAAATGGACAATGACCCCCAGCATACTTCCAAAGTTGTGGCAAAATGGCTTAAGGACAACAAAGTCAAGGTATTGGAGTGGCCATCACAAAGCCCTGACCTCAATCCTATAGAACATTTGTGGGCAGAACTGAAAAAGCGTGTGCGAGCAAGGAGGCCTACAAACCTGACTCAGTTACACCAGGTCTGTCAGGAGGAATGGGCCAAAATTCACCCAACTTATTGTGGAAGCTTGTGGAAGGCTACCCGAAATATTTGACCCAAGTTAAACAATTTAAAGGCAATGCTACCAAATACTAATTGATTGTATGTAAACTTCTGACCCACTGGGAATGTGATGAAAGAAATAAAAGCTGAAATAAATCAGTCTCTCTACTATTATTCTGACATTTCACATTCTTAAAATAAAGTGGTGATCCTAACTGACCTATGACAAGGAATTTTTACTAGGATTAAATGTTAGGAATTGTGAAAAACTGAGTTTAAATGTATTTGGCTAAGGTGTATGTAAACTTCCGACTTCAACTGTACGTATGCACAAATCATCAGATACATTTTTACATGATGTGGAAAAGAACATACTTGGTTTTACCTTCATTAAGTACCCATTTCAGTTCAACAAAGGCTATCTGCAGGGTAATAAAGGCAGATTGAAGCTCTGACAGAGCCTGGTCAGCTGTGGGGGCAATAACATAGTGGCTGTTGAGCAAGTTGAGAAGACTAAACTTCTTGGTGTCATCTTAAACTGTAAATTGTCAAGGCATATTGATTTAATTGTTGAAAAGATGGGGCAAGGTCTGTCTGTGATAAAGAGAAGTTCAGCATTTTTAACACTACAGTCGACCAAACAAGTCCTGCAGGCTCTAATTTGTATTAATCTTGACTATTGGCCGGTGATATGGTCAAGTGCTGCAAAAAAGGACCTAGAAAAGCTGCAGCTGGCCCAGAATGGAGCAGCATGTCTTGCCCTTCAATGCAAACAAATCATGTCAATCTCTCTTGGCTTAAAGGAGAGGAGAGATTGACTGCATCAAATCTTGTTTTTGTGAGAAATATTAATGTGTTGAAAATTCAAAATAATTGTCTGTATAATCAATCAACATACATATAGCTCTGACAGACATACAGTCCTTACCCCACCAGACATGCGACCAGGGGTCTCTTCACAGTCCCTAGGTCCAGAACAAATTCAAGGAAACTTACAATATTATATAGAGCAATGATTGAATGGAACTCCCTTCAATCTCATGTAGCGCAAGTGAACAGCAAACCTGGTTTCAGAAAACAAAAGAAGCAACACCTGACCTACTTATTGTGTGTATGTATGTACTGACATGTACATTGAGTGTACAAAACATTATGAACACCTTCCTAATTTGAGTTCACCCCCTTTTGCCCTCAGAACAGCCTCAATTCGTCAGGGCATGGACTCTACAAGGTGTCGAAAGCGTTCCACAGGGATGCTGGTCCATGTTCACGCCAATGCTTCCCACAGTTGTGTCAAGTTGGCTGGATGTCCTTTGGGTGGTGGACCATTCTTGATACACATTGGAAACTGTTGAGCGTGAAAAACCCAGCAGTGTTGCAGTTCTTGACACACAAAATGGTGCGCCTGGCACCCACAACCATACCCAGTTCAAAAGGCACTTAAATCTTTCATCTTGCCCATTCACACTCTGAATGGCACGCATACACAATCCATTTCTCAATTGTCTCAAGGCTTAAAAATCCTTCTTTAACATGTCTCCTCCCCTTCATCTACACTGATTGAAGTGGATTTAACAGGTGACATCAAGAAGGGATCAAAGCTTTCACCTGGATTCACCTGGTCAGTCTCATGGAAAGAGCAGGTGTTCCTAATGTTTTGTACACTCAGTGTATGTGTAACTGATAGATGCACACACCCCCACACATTATTATTATTATTATTATTATTATTTCGCTGTATTGTATATTTTTTAGCAAATTTGTGTGCCTTTTATTGTTCTTTATATATATATATATATATATATATATATATATATATATATATATATATATATATATATATATAAATCTGGAAGGTCTACATGTTAATGTTTTTAAATGTATGTCAATTGTAATGTATTTTTGCCTGTAATGTCTTTTTCGTTATGTGCCGGACCCAAGTAAGACTAGCTGTTGCCATTGGCGTCGGCTAATGGGGATCCTAAATAAAATCAAAATCAAAGCATACACTACAGTCTGCATACAGGTGAAAGTATATATACTTTTTACAGATAAACCAATATTGTTCATGTAAATAGTGAAAAGAACCGGACCAAGAATCGATCCCTGTGGGACACCCTTTGTTATGTCCAGAAGACCTGATTTAACACCATCAATAAATATATACCGTCCGTTAAATAATTTGATGACTGAACGTTTACAAAACGTTTACAAAGAGATTGCCTATTCAATCAATGTCCAATAGGCTAATGGTTTCCGTCACAAGGCAGTTCCTGTTACAAGAGTAGAGCAGCGTTTTCCATTTTCTCCATTCATACCAGTGTAAAGTCTCTTCACTGCAATAACTCAAACAGGTGCCCTTTGCTCTACATCCACGCCCTTGGCAAACCTTGATGCCGAGGTTATTAGTTATCGATTCATCCATTTGAGCCATCGAGCATTAAACTTATTTTTACTCGCATCCAAACTTAGGTAGGCCTACATACAAATGCTAGCTACCCCTGGTAATAGTTGACTAACGTTCCTTCCATGATCAACGACCAAGGTTAATACCTCCAAAATAAATCAACCAACAAAACAGGAAAGTTGGTTTCAGCAGCCTTGAGACCACACAGTCAATTCCGGCCCTGTGGGAGTGGAGGAAGGAGGGATGAGGGGAGGAGGCCTACTGCATTACACCCCTTGTGCACACAATGTGGTAACACGCTCCTGGTCATGCTAATCAAAAGTAGCCTTCCTTACAAACATTAGGGCTTGTAACACAAACAGGAGAGATGTGAACTAATGCATTCTTTACATTAGTAAAATATGTGTAGTAAAATCTGCCTCTCTTCAACATCAGATTTGCAACTTTTCTGTTTACACTATCCTTATATTATCCTTGGATGTGGTGTGGCCAAAGCAACATTTCTGCTTCATATGTGTGTAGATTCAGCATACCGTAACTACCATAGTAGTGTATAGACAAACAAAAAAAGGATAGCTATCAAACTATAAAGGAGCTCATCTAAACCATGTCGCCCATAATGTTGCACAAATGTGTGGACATTTTAAAAGCCTTTAATTTTCAAATTTGCCTAACAACAAAAATGCTGTGTACTGGTATTAAAGGGATACTTCAGGAGTTTGGCAATTAAGTCGTTTATCTAATTCCCCAGAGACAGATGAACTTGTGGATACCATTTGTATGTTTCTGCGTGCAGTTTGAAGGAAGTTGCTAACTATAGTTGCCGCAATTACTAACTAGCATTAGCGCAATGACTGGAAGTCTATGGTATCTGCTAGCATGCTAGTAGATACCAAAGACTTCCAGTCATTGCACAAATGCCAGTTAGCATTGGCGCCTGTAGATGTGTCTCTACCTACGGAGGTGGCTTGAGAAAGAGAGATTTTTATCTAGATCAGTCTCTTTACACTACAAAAATGTGTGTCCTGGAACTAGTATGTGTTATCAAACTAGTGAAGTGTAAAAAGGCCATAACAATGGGCTGTGATGACCTGACAGTGCAGGCAGACAGGGAGTTTACGATGAGTTCCATTTGGCAGCTCTTTACAGGGTTCTACACTAACTATTTCCACTGGTGTGCTACCAACTTTTTCAGTTTGTGGCACCAACACATGATTTGGTCACACCAATTTTTTTATAAAATAATTGATAATGACCGGGCCTGTGTCCCATAATATGCCTGCATTCCATACAGAACCAGGCGAATAATGACTAGCCATCTTTTAAATTAGCATGCCCTTGTGATCTTACACTGATTGTGGTAGATTTACTGTAACAGCAAATAAAATATACTTAAAATAAAGTGCAAAATGTATTTATCCAGGTTTCAAAGTGCTATGTGTTATGCGAAATCCTCTAGAAGGCAGAATTAGCAAAAACTATACTTGATACCAAAAACAATACAAAGGCCCCCCCCCCAAAAAAAAACGGGGAGGACTGTGATATCCCCCCGTTTTTTTCAGGTTTTTGTTCTCAAAATCACACTTTAATTGAAAAGCAACTAAATTGGATGTTCTAAGTCCACAACAAAGATTAAACCATATCAGGGGACCATTTTTTAGGTCTGGGAAAAATCTGAGAAATTTAGATTTTTTTTGTAGTTACCCTTTATTTCAGGTGCAAACCAGCCAGACAGTTGTGTTTGGCTAGCAGTGTTTCTGTAGCGTACTCGTGATGAGTTTCCAAAATAAATGGACACTGGATTGATGCAAATGTAACCGACCACCTCGATTCGGTCTTATGTAAAACATTTTGAAATAGTGTTTTTTACATTGCAGTTGAGGAACAATGGGAAAGTAATTCTGCTTTGAAAGTTGATAAACTTATAACCCCACTTTTGAGAAAATGGTCCTTGAATGTTTTGGAACACTTACTGGACAGCTCTTCTTTGTCTACACCCATTCAGCATCGTTCACACCCTCTTAAGCCTTAGTCCCAGCCATCTCTTTAAGGATTCACGTGAGGCCATGTGGTAAACACATGCTATATCAATTAAAATGTGAGTTTATTTGTCACATGCACAGGATACAGAAGGTGTAAACGGTACAGTGTTAGTACATGCATATTTGCATAGTACAGGTTTATAATGGCGCCGGAGGGAATGGCTGCCGTTTTATGGACTCTTAACCAACCGTGCTCGCCTGCGGTAGAATATATCATGATAAGCTGTAGACCAGACTATCTACCAAGAGAGTTTTCATCTACATTCTTCGTAGCTGTCTATTTACCACCACAAACCGATGCTGGCACTAAGACCGCACTCAATGAACTGTATCCGGCCATAAGCAAACAGGAAAATGCTCATCCAGAGGCGGCACTCCTAGTGGCCGGGGACTTCAATGCAGGGAAACTTAAATCCGTTTGACCTCATTTCTACCAGCATGTTAAATGTGCGACCAGAGGGGGGAAAAAAAACTCTATACAACCTTTACTCCACACACAGATACGCGTACAAAGCGTTCCCTCGCCCACCATTTGGCAAATCTGACCATAATTATATCCTCCTGATTCCTGCTTACAAGCAAAAACTAAAGCAGGAAGCACCAGTGACTCGGTTAATTAAAAAAAGTGGTCAGATGAAGCAGATGCTAAGCTACAGGTCTGTTTTGCTAGCACAGACTGGAATATGTTCCGGGATTCTTCCGATGGCATTGAGGAGTACACCACATCAGTCACTGGCTTCATCAATAAGTTCATCGATGACGTCGTCCCCACAGTGACTGTACGTACATACCCCAACCTGAAGCCATGGATTACAGGCAACATCCACATTGAGCTAAAGGGTAGAGCTGCCGCTTTCAAGGAGCGGGACTCTAACCCGGAAGCTTATAAGAAATCCCACTATGCCCTCCGATGATCCATCAAACAGGCAAAGCGTCAATACAGGACTAAGATCGAATCGTACTACACCGGCTCCGACGCTCGTCGGATGTGGCAGGGCTTGCAATCTATTACAGACTATACAAAGGGAAGCACAGCCATGAGCTGCCCAGTGACACGAGCCTACCAGACGAGCTAATTTACTTCTACACTCGCTTCGAGGCAAGTAACACTGAAACATGCATGAGAGCATCAGTTGTTCCGGACGACTGTGTGATCACGCCCTCCGTAGCCGATGTGAGTAAGACCTTTAAACAGGTCAATATTCACAAGGCCGCAGGGCCAGACGGATTCCCAGGATGTGTACCCTGAGCATGCGTTGACCAACTGGCAAGTGTCTTCACTGACATTTTCAACCTCTCCCTTTCTGAGCCTGTAATACCAACATGTTTCCAGCAGACTACCATAGTCCCTGTGCCCAAGAACACTAAGGTAACCTGCCTAAATGACTACCGACCTGTAGCACTCACGTCTGTAGCCAGGATGTGCTTTGAAAGGCTGGTCATGGCTCACATCAACACCATTATTCCAGAAACCCTAGACCCACTGCAATTTGTATACCGCCCCAACAGATCCACAGATGATGCAATCTCTATTGCGCTCCACACTGCCCTTTCACACCTGGACAAAAGTAACACCTATGTGAGAATGCTATTCATTGACTACTGCTCAGCATTCAACACCATAGTGCCCTCAAAGTTCATCACTAAGCTAAGGACCCTGGGACTAAACACCTCCCTCTGCAACTGGATCCAATAAATTATATTGGCGCAGTAGAACTTTAAATCAGAGCCTAGAGGAAATGTCTGATTTTCAAAGTAGGCTATTCCATGATGACTGAATTGCGCATCGCAAATATTCAACGAAGACTTAACTTTTTAATTAGCTGGTTCGCATACCCATTCTTGCCTTACCATTTCCTGCTAGATATCATATCTTGGACATCTTTCCTAACCCTACCGCTGTTGGTCTTGACTTCCTCCTGGCGACCTTAGCCCCTTCCTGGTTCCTCCTGGCCTGAGACTTTTCTTGTTTCCTCCTATTCTGAGCCCCTTCCTAGCTCCTCCTTTTCTGAGACAGCAGCACTATGGGACCATGATGACACTGAGGACAACAACCCAGTTTGGGCAAAGGTAGGGTAGTAAAGGGGGCAGTAACATGGGGGCGATATTGCACCCCTAACACCGCCCCTACAGCCCCCAATAAAGGCAGTGGGTCCTGGAGGAACTGTTAGTCAAGGCGGGGGTCCCTGGGGGCTACCAGAAGGCAGGCGATGGTGTCACTCAGCCATGACCAGGTTATAATGACCAGTGTCTGACCCCACAGCAACAGACCACCAACAGCCAGGCCCCACCATCACTCACATGCCAGCAGCCAGGAGACCCATGCGGGCTGGAGGGGCACTGACAGAGTGGAAATAGGCAGGTGTGTGTAAACACGTAATGTCGCCTTTTCAACACTATTTGAACTCAAACACAACACTGTTGAAGCCACTTACCCGGATTCCTGGATAAGTCATACAGCATTCCAGCCAGAAAGCTGGAATGCAGTTCAGTTTTCCATTGTTTGACACCGTAAGAAACCAAACCTAGGCTAACATGCATTTTTGCAGCTCACAAAGAATGAAGTTGACAGTTACCCCAGAAACCTGGTAAATCGGTTTCGTCTAATAAACCTGACGATTTCATAAACAAAGGAACTTCCATATTTCTGTGGAGGCATCACAATCAGGCTTCCAGCAGTGCAACTATTCCATTAACATTTGCGTCATTTAGCAGACGCTCTTATCCAGAGCGACCCACAGTTAGTGAGTGCATACATTCCCATAATGGCCCCCCAACATGCTACACTGACACTCTGCCCTGCTTACTAAAGCAACCCACATCAACATGGCAATGAGCACCGTTTCTCTTGAAAAGTAAGCTTAGCCTATTGCTTTGCACTGTCCAGACATTAACAGACCTGCTTGTTGATTTATTTCCTCTAATTCCAATTAAATTAATATTTTTTCTCTCATGCAACAACTCCTCCACCACTCCTTAAAAACAGAAACCCACAATCTCTTGAAAAGAAAAGCATCTTAAGCCTGGACACAAACCCTCCACTCTCCCTCCTCTCACACACACTAGGGCCCTATAAAATCAGTTAGATTTTCTGCCTAATTCCGTTTAGTTTTTGCAGGTTTCCGTTTTTTCCCCGTTTTCACTCTCAAAAATCACACTTTTTAAATAGAAAAACAACTAAATTGGATGTTCTATGTCCACAGGAGGAGACCACTTTTGAAGTCTGGTAAATGTTTTTAAACATTTAGATTTTGGGGTGTAGTTACCCTTAATATCCAGTGCGTACCTAGCAAGAGGCTGTTGTTCAGGTGTGTTTTTGTAGCGCACATGATGGTAGAGTTTGCAAAACAAATACCCACTGGATTGATGCAACTAATCATGATATCATTCTGCCAGGTAAGCATATGCTAATTCTAGCTAACATTTAATTGAAAATAAATGTGCAACCGGTTTTCCCCACTAAGCAATGAGTCAAAGTCAGAACCCGAGCATTCTCGGGTCTCTCCTCCACCAGTTACGGGGTCTGAGCCACCGAAGCCTCCCACCATTAGCTCTGACAGATTGAAAACCCTAGTCATTGGCAACTCCATTACCCACAATATTAGACTTCAAAAGAATCATCCAGTGATCATACATTGGTTTAGCAGGGGGCAGGGCTACCGACGTAAAGGCTAATCTGAAGATGGTGATGGCTGAGGCTAAAACTGGCGAGTGTATAGTGATATTGTTATCCTCGTCGGCACCAACGATGTTAGGATGAAACAGTCAGGTCACCAAGCACAACATAGCTTCAGCGTGTTACTTTGACAGAAAGATGTGTCGGCATCGAGTAATTGTCTATGGTCCCCTCCCAGTTAGGGGGAGTGATGAGCTCTACAGCAGACTCGCACAATTCAATTGCTGGTTGAAAACTGTTTTCTGCCCCTCCCAAAAGATCACACTTGTTAATAATTGGCCCACTTTCTGGGACTCACCCACAAACACGACCAAGATTGGCCTGCTGAGTAGTGACAGACTCCATCCTAGCTGGAGGGGTGCTCTCATCTTATCCATCAACATAGACAGGGCTCTAACTCCTCAATGAGATAGCCAGCCTGCCAGCTTAGTGGAGTCTGCCCCAGTCTGTGTAGTCAGCTCAGATTTGTGCAGTGCAAATAGTCAGGGTAGCCATGATTAGCTGTTTAGGAGTCTTATGGATTGGGGGTAGAATCTGTTGATAAGCCTTTTGGACCTAGACTTGGCGCTCCGGTACCGCTTGCCGTGCGGTAGAAGAGAGAACAGTCTATGACTAGGGTGGCTGGAGTTGTTGACAATTTTGAGGGCCTTCCTCTGACACCGCCTGGTATAGAGGTCCTGGATGGCAGGAAGCTTGGCCCCAGTGATGTACTGGGCCGTACGCACTACCCTCTGTAGTGCCTTGCAGTCGGAGGCCGAGCAGTTGCCATACCAGGCGGTGATGCAACCAAATAAAATAAAATTTTATTGGCCACATGCGCCGAATACAACAGGTGCAGACATTACAGTGAAATGCTTACTTACAGCCCTTAACCAACAGTGCATTTATTTTTAATAAAAAAGTAGAATAAAACAAAAAAGTGTTGAGAAAAAAAGAGCAGAAGTAAAATAAAATAACAGTAGGGAGGCTATATATACAGGGGGGTACCGGTGCAGAGTCAATGTGCGGGGGCACCTGCTAGTTGAGGTAGTTGAAGTAATATGTACATGTGGGTAGAATTAAAGTGACTATGCATAAATAATTAACAGAGTAGCAGCAGCGTAAAAAGATGGGGGTGGGAGGGGCAGTGCAAATAGTCCAGGTAGCCATGATTAGCTGTTCAGGAGTCTTATGGCTTGGGGGTAGAAGCTGTTGAGAAGTCTTTTGGACCTAGACCACAGTGATGTACTGGGCCGTACACACTACCCTCTGTAGTGCCTTGCAGTCAGACGGCCAAGCAGTTGCCATACCAGGCGGTGATGCAACCAGTCAGGATGCTCTCGATGGTGCAGATGTATAATTTTTTGAGGATCTGAGGACCCATGCCAAATCTTTTCAGTCTCCTTAGGGGGAATAGGCTTTGTCGTGCCCTCTTCACGACTGTCTTGGTGTGTTTGGACCATAATAGTTCGTTGGTGATGTGGACACCAAGGAACTTGAAGCTCTCAACCTGTTCCACTACAGCCCCGTCGATGAGAATGGGGGCATGCGTAGTCCTCTTTTTTTTCCTGTAGTCCACAATCATCTCCTTTGTCTTGGTCACATTGAGGGAGAGGTTGTTATCCTGGCACCACACGGCCAGGTCTCTGACCTCCTCCCTATAGGCTGTCTCATCGTTGTCGGTGATCAGGCCTACCACTGTTGTGTCGTCTGCAAACTTAATGATGGTGTTGGAGTCGTGCCTGGCCATGCAGTCATGGGTGAACAGGGAGTACAGGAGGGGACTGAGCACGCACCCCTGAGGGGCCCCCGTGTTGAGGATCAGTGTGGCAGATGTGTTGTTACCTACCCTTACCACCTGGGGGCGGCCCGTCAGGAAGTCCAGGATCCAGTTGCAGAGGGAGGTGTTTAGTCCAAGGGTCCTTAGCTTAGTGATGAGCTTTGAGGGCACTATGGTGTTGAACACTGAGCTGTAGTCAATGAATAGCATTCTCACGTAGGTGTTCCTCTTGTCCAGGTGGGAAAGGGCAGTGTGGAGTACAATAGAGATTGCATCAGCTGTGGATCTGTTGGGGCGGTATGCAAATTGGAGTGGGTCTAGGGTTTCTGGGATAATGGTGTTGATGTGAGCCATGACCAGCCTTTCATAGCACTTCATGGCTACAGACATCAGTGCCAAGGGTCGGTAGTCATTTAGGCAGGTTATCTTAGTGTCCTTGGGCACGGGGACTATGGTGGTCTGCTTGGTATTACAGACTCAGTCAGGGACATGTTGAAAATGTCGGTGAAGACACTTGCCAGTTCGTCAGCACATGCTCAGAGTAAACGTCCTGGTAATCCGTCTGGCCCTGCAGCCTTGTGAATGTTGACCTGCTTAAAAGTCTTACTCACATCGGCTACGGAGAGCGTGATCACATAGTCATCCGGAACAGCTGGTGCTCTCATGCATGCGTCAGTGTTGCTTGCCTCGAAGCGAGCATAGAAGTGGTTTAGCTCGTTTGGTAGGCTTGTGTCACTGGGCAGCTCGTGGCTGTGCTTCCCTTTGTAGTCTGTAATAGTTTTCAAGCCCTGCCACATTCGACGAGCGTCAGAGCCGGTGTAGTACGATTCAATCTTAGTCCTGTATTGACTCTTTGCCTGTTTGATGGCTCATCGGAGGGCATAGCGGGATTTCTTATAAGCGTCCGGGTTAGAGTCCCGCTCCTTGAAAGCGGCAGCTCTACCCTTTAGCTCAGCACGGATGTTGCCTGTAATCCATGGCTTCTGGTTGGGGTATGTACGTACAGTCACTGTGGGGACGACGTCATCGATGCACTTATTGATGAAGCCAGTGACTGATGTGGTGTACTCCTCAATGCTATCTGAAGAATCCCGGAACATGTTCCAGTCTGTGCTAGCAAAACAGTCCTGTAGCTTAGCATCTGCGTCATCTGACCACTTTTTTATTAACCGAGTCACTGGTGCTTCCTGCTTTAGTTTTTGCTTATAAGCAGGAATCAGGAGGATAGAGTTATAGTCAGATTTGCCAAATGGAGGGCGAGTGAGAGCTTAGTATGTGTCTCTGTGTGTGGAGTAAATGTGGTCTAGAGTTTCTTTCCCTCTGGTCCCTTGGGTTTTGCCCAACATGTCTCGGGTCCTACACATTCCCACAGTCATACCCTGGATTTAGTTTTGTCCCATGAAATAGATAGTGGACCACCATCTTATTACGTTTGCAATCGCAACAAATCATTCGCTTAGACCCCAACTAAGGATTATTACAATTATTCGACTACCCAAAGATTCCTAGATGCCCTTCCAGACTCCCTCCACCTATCCAAGGACGTCTGAGTACAAAAATCAGTTAACCACCTAACCGAGGAAATAAACTTTCCGTAACCTTACGTAATACCTTAGATGCAGTTGCACCGCTAAAAACCAAAAAATATTGTCAAACAAAACTAGCTTCCTGATATACAGAAAATACCTGAGCCTTGAAGCAAGCATCCAGAAAATTGTCTTCCGACTAGCTTGGAAAGACCGTACCATTCAATATCGAAAAGCCCTCACTGCTGATTGATCATCCTACATTTCCAACCTGATTAAGGAGAATAGAAACAATCCAACATTTATTTTTCATACTGTCGGAAGGCTAACTAAAAAGCAGCATTCCCCAAGTATGGATGGCCTTCACTTCAAGCAGTGACAAATTCATGAACTTCTTCGATGAAAATATCATAATTAGAAAACAATTACGGAATATGCGTATTTCACCAAATCTCAGTTGTCCTGAGCCAGCACATAACTGCCAGGACGTCGGCTCAATGGAGACTCTTGACACATTCACAAATATAGTGTTGCCCTCTAAACCTTCCAGCTGTCTACTGGACCCTATTCCAATTAGACTACTGAAAGAGCTACTTCCTGTGTTTGGCCCTCCTATGTTGAAAATAATCAACGTCTCCCTATCCTCCGGATGTGTACCAAACTCACTAAAAGTGGCAGTAATAAAGCCTGTACTGAAAAAGCCAAACCTTTACCCCTATAAAATTAAATAAATTTGGCCTAAATCTTATCACCCATTCCTGTTGCTCAACAACTCACTGCCTTCCTGAAGACAAAATAATGTATACGAAATGCTCTGGTCTGGTTTTAGATCCCATCATAGTACTAAGGCAGCACTTGTGAAGGTGGTAAATTACCTTTTAATGGTGTCATACCAAGGCTCTGCGTCTGTCCTTGTGCTCCTACACCCTAGTGCAGCTTTCGACATCATCGATCACCACCTTCTTTTGGAGAGATTGGAAACCGTAATTGGTCTACGCGGACAAGTTCTTGCCTGGTTTAGATCTTATCTGTCGGATAGGTAGCAGTTAGTCTCTGTGGAAGGTTTGTCCTATGACAAATCAATTGTACATTTCGGTGTTCGTCAAGGTTCCGTTCTAGGAACACTATTGTTTTCCCTCTGTATCCTACCTCTTGTTGATGTCATTCGGAAACACAATGTCAACTTTCACTGCTATGCGGACAACACACAGCTGTACATTTCGATGAAACTTGGTGAAGGGCCCAAAATTGCCTACCCTGGAAACTTGTGTTTCATTTACATTTACGTAATTTAGCAGACGCTCTTATCCAGAGCGACTTACAAATAGGTGCATTCACCTTATAGCCAGTGGGATAACCACTTTACCATTTTATTTTTATTTTTTTGAGGGGGGGGGGGGGGGGTAAGGGGGGGTAGAAGCATTACGCAATGCCCTCGTTTGGGTGTAGGGACTGATCAGAGCCTGAAGGTACGGAGGTGCCGTTCCCCTCACAGCTCCGTAGGCAAGCACCATGGTCTTGTAGCAGATGCGAGCTTCAACTGGAAGCCAGTGGAGTGTGCGGAGGAGCGGGGTGACGTGAGAGAACTTGGGAAGGTTGAACACCAGACGGGCTGCGGCATTCTGGATGAGTTGTAGGGGTTTAATGGCACAGGCAGGGAGCCCAGCCAACAGCGAGTTGCAGTAATCCAGACGGGAGATGACAAGTGCCTGGATTAGGACCTGTGCCGCTTCCTGTGTAAGGCAGGGTCGTACTCTCCGAATGTTGTAGAGCATGAACCTACAGGATCGGGTCACCGCCTTGATGTTAGCGGAGAACGACAGGGTGTTGTCCAGGGTCACGCCAAGGCTCTTCACACTCTGGGAGGAGGACACAACGGAGTTGTCAACCGTGATGGCGAGATCATGGAACAGGCAGTCCTTCCCCGGGAGGAAGAGCAGCTCCGTCTTGCCATGGTTCAGCTTGAGGTGGTGATCCGTCATCCATACTGATATGTCTGCCAGACATGCAGAGATGCGATTTCAGACATAAGAAAGAGGATGACTTCAATTTTTGTACTTTTAAACTCAGACAAAACAGAGATGCAAGTTCTAGGTCCCAAGAAACAAAGATCTGCTGTCGGATCTGACAAGGAATCTTGATGGTTGTACAGTAATCAAAAATAAAATTGAAGGACCTCTGTGTTACTCTGGACCCTGATCTATTTTGACGAACATATCCAAAATATTTCAAGAGCAGCCTTTTTCCATCTTGCAACATTGCATAAATCTGAAACTTTTGTCCAAAAATGATACAGAAAAGCTCATCCATGTGTTTGTCACTTCAAGATTAAACTACTGCAATGCTCTACTCTCCGGCTACCCAGATAAGGCACTAAATAAACTTCAGCTAGTCCAAAATACAGCTATTTGAATCTTGACAAGACTAGGGCTGATTTTAAGGTTTTACTGCTAACCTACAAAGCATTACATGGACTTCTTCCTACCTATCTGCCAAAGACGCAAGCCTCATTGTTCCTCAAATTTTTTTAACAAATGGCTGGAGGCAGGGCTTTCTCCTATATAGCTCAATTTTTATAGAATGGTCTGCCGATCCATGTGAGAGAGAAAGACTCGGTCTCAACCTTTAAGTCTTTACTGAAGACTCATCTCTTCCGTAGGTCCTATGATTGAGTGTAGTCTGGCCTAGGGGAGCGAAGGTGAACGGCAAGGCACCGGAGCGACGATCCACCCTTTTTGTCTCTGCCTGGCCGGAACCCCTCTCTCCACTGGGATTCTCTGCCTCTGAGCCTATTACGGGGGTTGGGTCACTGGCTTGCTTGCGCTCTCCCATCGTTCCTGTCCTCAGGCGGTAGGTGAGATCTTCATGGGCTATACTTTACCTTGTCTGAGCGTAGTAAGTTAGTGGTCTGTTGATATCCCTTGAACTTTGGACCGGGCCACAGTGTCCCCCAACCCCCCACACGCTCACAGTCTTCAGTATCTATGCTGCAATAGTCTATGTGCCAGGGGGCTAGGGTCAATCTGGCATATCTAGTGTAACTCTCCTGTCTTATCTGGTGTCCTGTGTGATCTTAACTATGCTCCCTCTAATTCTCCCATCTCCCTCTTCCCCCCGCCCCTCCCGGAGGACCTGAGCCCTAGGACCATGCCTCAGGTTTACGTGGCCTGATGACTCCTGGCTGTCCCTGTCCCTAGTCCACCTGGTCGTGCTGCTGATACAGTTCCTGCTGTTCTGCCTGCAGCTATGGAACCCTGACCTGTTCACTGGTTGTGCTACCTTGTCCCGGACCTGCTGTTTCATCCCTCTCTCCCTCTCTGCATCTTGTGTCTCGACCTCTAAATGCTCAGCTATGAAAAGCCAACTGACATTTACTCCTAAGGTGCTGACCTGTTGCACCCTCTATAACCCACAGTGATTCTTATTTGACCCTGCTGGTCATCTATGAACGTTTGAACATCTTGAAGAAAGATCTGGCATTATGGCCATGTACTCCTATGATCTCCTCCCGTCACAGCCAGAAGAGGACTGGCCACCCCTCAGAGCCTGGTTCCCCTCTAGGTTTTATCCTAGGTTCCAGCCTTTCTAGGGAGCTTTTCCTAGCCACCGTGCTTCTACATCTGCATTGCTTGCTCTCTGGGGTTTTAGGCTCGGTTTCTGAATAAGAACTTTGTGACAACTGCTGATGTAAAAAGGGATTTATAAATACATGTGATTGATTGAAAAGGTTATTGGGAAAGCCTTTCCATCTACTAGAAGATGTTTTCATTAGCATCGTTGCCAACAGCCACCGCACATACAGACAGGGGCAATTCTCATTGCCTCTTCAGAAACTAGCAGGAAATACGAATCGCTGATGCATTATGTTCATGTCTGTTCAACTTAGGCACATTCGTTTTCAATACATTTAGTTGATTCCCTACGAAGTTCAATATATTTTTCTATATTGTTGAATTCAGTTTTAATATCTAGATTCCGTGATTACGTCTGTGTTTTCTGCATCACAGATTTTATAGGGCCCTAACATGCACAAACACAACCCCCCTGTCCTGTACAGAGCGGGGCGGTCCATGGAGACAAAGGTTGGGCTCCGTGCCCCTCACTGGGTGCACAGTCCACTGGACACACAATGAGAGCGGAAGTGGATCAGCTGGCTTGGGCCCGCAAGCAGAGAGGGAGAGAGAGAAAAGAGAGAGAGGAGCCCTGCCTCAGCCCCCCCATTCAAAATTATTCCAAGTTATTCTGATGGATGACCGACTTCATTTCCGACAAAAAGTAGAAGAAAACAGAGGGAATGAGAGAGCGAGGGGGAGAAAGGGGGTGTGGGAAGGGGAAGGGAGGGAGTCGACAGCTCTCATCCGGATTTAAAACCCCTCAAGTTCATCACCAAACTAGGGCATAGGTCTCCTCTTCTCGTATAAGAGCGTAGCCTATATGCGCATTTCAGGATTATATAATCTTCCTCAACATAGGCTAGCCAAACAGGTTTGTTGAGTTCACTCAAACACCCCTCTCAATACAATCTAGTTGGATGTATGAAGACAGATGTGAGATTTCAAAGCAAAAAAATATAAGGTTTTACGCCATTGTTTGTAAACAATGTATTTGTCAACAACAAAAAATTATAGAACTGTCTAAATTACCTAATAAGCTTTGGTGAAATAAACAGAAAGACACTTTCAATCACATGCAGTTTTTGTTATACCACAACTGCTTGCCTGTGATTTCATACCTAAACCAGTGTTTTCCATAAGCGCTAAACAGCCGATAACAGACTCATTGTCAGTCGGCTACTGTTTCCATTTCATTAACTAGGCTTCTTTTAATTTAAAAGTTTCAATTCTCTAGTCAGAAAAGTCTGTATCGCCTTCTCCAACTATAGAATAACGATACGCATCTTCTAGTTTTCTATTGGTAGGACAGGCACCTGTCAGTCAAAAAGTGAGTGATTACAGGAAAACACTGCTAGTTTGTCAGTCTGCAGTCTGTCCGGCTTCTCGGCACCTGTGTTATTTTTGTGTGCTGTGGTTGGCTGCAGTCAAATTTATTTTCACGGAGGAGAGAGAGCATGATGAGTCTCCTGTGAGTTAATTTACACGTCCCATGTAGTGGTAAGGATGAGTTGAAACCCACTTAAAGCAACAATATATACTTTTTGGGCAACCCGACCAAATTCACATCGAAAAGTGAGTTATAGATCTGTCACTCATTGAAAGCAAATCTAAGAAGTGGTAGATCTGTTCTATGTGCGCTATTTCTAGGCTTCCCGGATTTAAGTTTCGTTTTTGCATCTTTTACTTCGGTATTGTACACCAGCTTCAAAAGAGCTGAAAATACAATATTTTTGGTTATGAAAAGGATATTTCACAGCGGTTTAGATGGTACAATGATTCTCTACACATTGCTTGTTTTCTCAAAAAATGAAATTAGGCGAACTATTAGAATTTTAGCAACCAGGAAAAGGCAGGGCGATTTCTGCATATTGCACCTTTAATTATTATTTTGTGGCACATTGATTTATTATATTTTCTGTGTTTCATAGGCCTATATACCCAGCCACGTAGTCAAGGAACATAGGCTATTTACTGCGCTTTGATTGCCGACCGAACAGCTTGTGTCGACTAGCTTATAAAAAGTGTCGAACTGACTGAATAAAGTAAATCTCCTATATCCTTTGCTATTCATAAACATACAACATAGTCATGTCCATGGTATCGCATCAGGACAAGTAAACCAAAATATCTTGTTTGTATTTTCCTAGGATTCGAAGCCCATGACTGCTAAAGTGACATGTCAGTGTAGCCTAGTGATGGGTTGTTCGTGAACGAACTGCTCTTTTTGAACTAATTTGTTAGGTCAACGGAACCTGAATCGCGTAGGTGAGAGAGCAGTTCATTTGTTTCCCTAATTTGCATACTGGTAGGCTACTACTGTTTTTTGGCGATAATCTGCAGATCAATTATGAAAACATTCGATGAAGAAGTTGAATCCTCACTGCAGGAACCATAGGTAGTGGAGAGGGCCTCATTCTGGTACAAAATACGATAAAAAGAAGACAGATTGAAGGTTACAAAAGCTAACGTCACGATACACTACATAACCAAAAGTATGTTGACACCTGCTAGTCGAACATCTCATTCCAAAATCATAGGCATTAATATGGAGTTGTCCCCCCTTTGCTGCTATAACAGCCTCCACTCTTCTGGGAAGGCTTTCCACTAGATGTTGGAACATTGCTGCGGGGACTTGGTTCCATTCAGCCACAAGAGCATTAGTGAAGTCGGGCACTGATGTTGGGCGATCAGGCCTGGCTCGCAGTTGGTGTTCCAAATCATCCCAAAGGTGTTCGATGGGGTATAGGTCAGGGCTCTGTGCAGGCCAGTCAAGTTCTTCCACACTGATCAACAAAACAATTCTGTATGGACCTTGCTTTGTGGCTTAACCCGAACCATGAAAAACAGCCCCTGACCATTATTCCTCCACCAAACTTTACAGTTGGCACTATGCATTGGGGCAGGTATCGTTCTCCTGGCATCCGCCAAACCCAGATTCGTCCGTCAGACTGCCAGATGGTGAAGCGTGATTCATCACTTCAGAGAACGCGTTTTCACTGCTCCAGAGTCCAATGGTGGCGAGCTTTAAACCACTCCAGCTGACGCTTGGCATTGCGCATGGTGATCTTAGTCTTGTGTGTGGCTGCTCGGCCATGGAAACCCATTTCATGAAGCTCCCGACGAACAGTTATTGCATTGACGTTGCTTCCAGAGGCAGTTTGGAACTCGGTAGTGAGTGTTGCAACCGAGGACAGATGATGTTTACGCGCTTCAGCACTCGGCGGTCCCGTTCTGTGAGCTTGTGTGGCCTACCACTTCGCGGCTGAGCTGTTGTAGCTCCTAGACGTTTCCACCTCACAATAACAGCACTTACAGTTGACCGGGGCAGCTCTAGCAGGGCAGAAATTTGACGAACTGACTTGTTGGAAAGGTGGCATCCTATGGCGGTGCCACGTTGAAAGTCTCTGAGCTCTTTAGTAAAACCATTCTACTGCCAATGTTTGTCTATGGAGATTGCATAGCTGTGTACACCTGTCAGCAATGGGTGTGGCTGAAATAGCCGAATCCACTAATTTGGAGGGGTGTCCACATACTTTTGTATATACACACAGTGCCTTCGGAAAGTATACAGACCCCTTGACTTTCTCCACATTTGTTACGCTACAGCCTTATTCTAAAATGGATCAAATAAAATACTCATCCTCAGCAATCTACACACAATACCCCAATGACAAAGTGATTTTTTTGCAAATGTATTAAAATACAAAAACTTAAATACCTTATTTACATAAGTATTCAGACCTCTTGCCATGCCACTCGAAATTGAGCTTAGGTGCATCCTGTTTCCATTGATCATCCTTAAGATGTTTCTACAACTTGATCGGAGTCCACCTGTGGTAAATTCAATTGATTGGACATGATTTGGAAAGGCACACACCTGTCTATATAAGGTCCCACAGTTGACAGTGCATGTCAGAGCAAAAACAAAGCCATGAGGTCGAAGGAATTGTCCGTAGAGCTCCGAGACAGGATTGTGTCGAGGCACAGATCTGGGGAAGGGTACCAAAACATTTCTGCAGCATTGAAGATCCCCAAGAACACAGTGGCCTCCATCATTCTTAAAATGGAAGAAGTTTGGAACCACCAAGACTCTTCCTAGAGCTGGCCGCCCTGCCAAACTGAGCAAATCGGGCGAGAAGGGCCTTGGTCAGGGAGGTGACCAAGAACCCGATGGTCACTCTGACAGAGCTCCAGAGTTCCACTGTGGAGACGGGAGAACCTTCCAGAAGGACAATCATCTCTGCAGCACTCCACCAAATCAGGCCTTTATGGTAGATTGGCCAGACGGAAGCCACTCCTCAGTAAAAGGCACATGACAGCCCACTTGGGAGTTTGCAAAAAGACACCTAAAGGACTCTCAGACCATGAGAAACAAGATTCTCTGGTCTGATGAAACCAAGATTCAACTCTTTGGCCTGAATGCCAAGCGTCAGGTCTGGAGGAAACCTGGCATCCTCCCTACAGTGAAGCACGGTGGTGGCAGCATAATGCTGTGGGGGTGTTTTTCAGCAGCAGGGACTGGGAGAATAGTCAGGATCGAGGCAAAGATGAACAGAGCAAAGTACAGAGAGATCCTTGATGAAAACCTGCTCCAGAGCGCTCAGGATCTCAGAATGGGGTGAAGGTTCACCTTCCAACAGGACGACAACCCTAAGCACACAGCCAAGACAACGCAGGAGTGGCTTCGGGACAAGTCTCAGAATATCCTTGAGTGGCCCAGCCAGAGCCCGGACTTTAACCCGATCGAACATCTCTGGCGAGACCTGAAATTAGCTGTACAGCAACGCTCCCCATCCAACCTGACAGAGCTTGAGAGGATCTGCAGAGAAGAATAGTAGAAACTCCCCAAATACAGGCGTTCCAAGCTTGTAGCGTCATACCCAAGAAGACTCAAGGCTGTAATTGCTGCCAAAGATACTTCAACAAAGTACTGAGAAAAGGGCCTGAATACTTATGTAAATGTTATTTATGTTTTTTATTTTTAATAAATTAGCAAAAATGTCTAAAAACCTGTTTTTGCTTTGCCATTATGGAGTATTGTGTGTAGATTGATGAGGGGAAAAAACAATTTAATCAATTTTAGAATAAGGCTGTAACCTAACAAAATGTGGAAAAAGTCAAGGGGTCTGAATACTTACCGAAGGTACTTATGTTATTGTTAAAGATATTGATATAGGCCTACTGATTTGATTAGTGTCAACAATGGAGTAGTCAACTGCTTCTGTGTGGCAAAGCCCATGTTTAACACCTGCTTCATTCTTCAAAACAAACTTTTAAGTCTATTCATGTATAAAAGTGGAGGTGCACAATCTGGCGGGGGGTCTGGGGGTCCTCCCCCTGAACATAAAAAAAATAAAATGTTTTCCCGTATTTCTATATTGAATCCATGTTTACTTTACAGAACACAACCTTTTTCCTTAGGTTAACAAAATTAACAAAATATAAAAGCGTAGATTAGTTTTAGTTTGTCACAATAAATTAAATTGAAATGGTAGACTAGACTCGTTTTTCTGACTAGAATACTAATCTAGTGCCTTCCCTCAAAGTCCCACCCACTGTGGTTGACTGACAGGTCTGAAACCCTACCACGTGACTCACAAACATCCTTGATTGACAGGCCAAACTGATAAAGGGATAGTTCACCCAAATATATAATTTGAAAAACAAACATAATTGTGGCAATTCATACCTTGCAGTAAAACTGTAAATATGGGAGGTAAAGTAATCAATTATTTAGCTGTGTATTTTGGATGGAATTACGGCATTAGAATGTACCAGAGGTCACCAAAATAGAGCTTGTTCTGCAATTGTTTTTTCCTCCCGGACTCCCACAGCCCAGAACTACCGCTAAACCAGCTCAACTTCCCCAAACTAGGCTATACATTACACACACCACCACAGTACAAGCCATCCAAACACACAGCAAACACACAGCAGGAACAGCAACATAAAGGGCTGTAGGCTAGGGCTGTACTTGAGAGCACGTGCTGGCCAGGCCTGCGCCCAGAGGGTCTTGCTGCTTCAGTGTGTGGTGGAGAAGGGGGATCCTGGGACAACCATTTCCTGGCCTGACAAAGTGGCCGTTTGTCTGTGGCCCTGGCCCATGGCTCACAGAGCTCCAGCATGCCATCATGCTCTGCCTCAGCCCCCGGGCTTCCCAGCCCGAGGGGAGAGGAGGAGGGGAAGGAGGCCTGAAAGTAAGACAGGAGAGGGCGAGAGTAGGAGGAGGAGAGGGACGATGTGGCCTTAGCCCTGGGTGATCGCCCTCCCTTCCTTCCCACCCGTCCTCCCTATCCTCCCACCCCTATCCATCCCCCTCCCCGGCTGCCTCTCTACACAATGGCTGCTTCTCTGCTGAAATTTCACGTTATTGGATCCCAGGCCTGGAGTTTTGTGCTCTCACAATGTCCAGGCAATGGAGCATGCTACAGGAGAGACACACTCTGCAAGCTAAAAGCTGGAAAACCGTTCCTCTTTCATTAGCATTAGAAAAGGGGAGAGACACCCCCCCCCTGTACCTAAACCGGAGGAAGGCCGTCAAGCTTCAGCAGTCCACTTTGGGTTTAAGACTTAGAATAAAAATCTTTCCGAAAATAAACAAGCTACTTATCCCAATGGGATTCTATAGATTATCCTTCCGCAGAGTGGGAAAGGAAACGCTAGCAGAGGACAGAAATGTTTTTGTTTTTTTACTAGCAGTGACTCATTCTTTTTTGTGGCTGAAACGTCTGGATATCTTCTTCCATGCAAACTGAGCAACTGCATCAAGGACAAATATATGCTAACACACACATCTTTACGTTTCCAAAAGAACATAGGCTACTGTTTTAATGTTTTACAAATAAACAACAGGCATGCAGACCCAAAACAAAACACCAGCACAACCCTTTGAAAGCTGGACAAATGACAGAACCCCACGATTACATTTTACATTTTAGTCATTTAGCAGACGCTCTTATCCAGAGTCACTTACAGTATTAGTAAGTGCATACAGTTTCATACTGGTTCCCCATGGGAATCGAACCCACAACTCTGGCGTTGCAAGTGCCATGCTCTACCAACAGCCACACAGGACCTTCTAAAGGGTTCTATGTAGTGTTAATATCAAATAGGCCTACTCCCATCTATGTAGAGCAAGTATTAGGGTAGTTAGCAATGAGCCTAGCTATCCTGAAATGCAACGTGCCTTCCGCACAAGAGCAAATCTACCCATCAAGTTGGCTATAAATAGGCTACATATCCTAGCCTATATAGAAGTGTAACAAGGAACGAGAGACTGGTTGAAGGACAACCTTTTATAGCTCTAATCACAGAAAAACAGTTAGAGCAGCACATTTCTCACGTCTTGAACGCTACCTCCAGAGTTAGCGCATGACCCTTCCCAGAGAGCTGCCCCCCTCCAAGCAGGACTGTGTAAAAGCGAATTGTCTCGTTGAGCCCAAACCTCGTACAGTAAAAATCTTAACCCCTTAAAGTGGAATTCCACGGCCCCTGGAAAAATAATTAGCATAATAAAACAATCCCCATCCATATCAGTCAGTTTAAGCTAAAGATCCGTTTTTTTGCATTGCCTGCGTCTCAATCCACAACATCCGGTGATGTCGCACTTCCACATCTGTGGTGAAAGGTGGCAGAGCTAGAGCAGTGTGGCAAACCATGAGACATCCCCAAAATTGGTCTTCTCACTAAATTGTTTGTAGCGTCCAAACGGCCAACAAACTATTACTCTATGGAAAGAAGAGACTCATGAACACGATGGTGTTATCCGTTTTGCTCTACGACCCCCACAAGAGTCTTGGGACAGCCGATCTGCCAACTTCTGTCTGTAGTGTCAGAACAGTTTGGGCTACACACTAATATGGCGAGACTCTCACAAACATGTACATGTTGGTTGGTTTGCTATAGGACACCCTCACAAGACTCATCTGAAGGTCCCCTGGTACCAGTAAAAATGTATGGAAGTATATGGAGATATTTTTGGCACTAAACTAAGGTGTTAAATACATTTCAAAAAAATTGTTTCCTGATCTCTTATATCTCTCAGATAAAGGACAGCAAACTTTCTTTAGATTTTTTTGGGAGGACTGTTGTTCCATGTAGGTGAATCTGTTATTCAATATGTTTTTATGGGCTAATAGCAGTAAATCAAAATGTATTGGTCGCATACACATATTCAGCAAATGTTATTGCAGGTATAGCGAAATGCTTCATCAAATAATTGTTTTATATATATTTTTTTATACTTCAAGGGGTCTTAAAATTCAAAATCAAATAACTAAATGATCCTTGGTATGACCTTCGTAAAACAATTCCATATGTTAGCTTAGTACCCGTCAATGTCTGCATCATTTCCAATCCCTCATTTTTTTTGTAAATATGTGGAGAATATACAGTACTAGTCAAAAGTTTGGACACACATACTCATTCAAGGGTTTCTTTATTTTTTACTATTTTCTACACTGTAGAATAATAGTGAAGACATCAAAACTACGAAATAACACATATGGAATCATGTAGTAACCCAATTGTTTTTTAGTAAATCTAAATATATTTTCTATTTGAGATTCTTCAAAGTAGCCACCCTTTGCCTTGATGACAGCTTTGCATTCTCTCAACCAGCTTCATGAGGTAGTCACCATGAATGCTTTTCCAACAGTCTTGAAGGAATTTTCACATATGCTGAGCACTTGTTGGCTGCTTTTCCTTCACTCTGCGGTCCAACTCATCCCAAACCATCTCAATTGGGTTGAGGTCGGGTGATTGTGGAGGCCAGGTCATCTGATGCAGCACTCCATCACTCTCCTTCTTGGTCAAATAGCCCTTACACAGCCTGGAGGTGTGTTTTGGGTCATTGTCCTGTTGAAAAACAAAATGATCATCCCATCTGGTTTGGGCTTAGTGGGACTGTGTGTCGCTGCAGAATGCTGTGGTAGCCATGCTGGTTAAGTGTGCCTTGAATTCTGAATAAATCACCAACAGTGTTACCAGCAAAGCACCCCCACACCATCACACCTTCTCCTCCATGCTTCACGGTGGGAACCACACATGCGGAGATCATCCGTTCACGTACTCTGCGTCTCACAAAGACACGGTGGTTGGAACCAAAAATCTCACATTTGGACTCATCAGACCAAAGGACAGATTTCCACCGGTCTAATGTACATTGCTCGTGTTTCTTGGCCCAAGCAAGCCTCTTCTTCATATTGGTGTCCTTTAGTAGAGGTTTCTTTGCAGCAATTCGACCATGAAGGCCTGATTCACGCAGTCTCCTCTGAACAGTTGATGTTGAGATGTGTCTGTTACTTGAACTCTGTGAAGCATTTATTTGGGCTGCAATCTGAGGTGCAGTTAAATCTAATGAACATCCTCTGCAGCAGAGGTAACTCTGGGTCTTCCTTTCATGTGGCAGTCCTCATGAGAGCCAGTTTCATCATAGTGACTGCACTTGAAGAAACTTTAAAAGTTATTGAAATTTTCCACATTGACTAACCTTCATGTCTTAAAGTAATGATGGACTGTTGTTTCTCTTTGCTTATTTGAGCTGTTCTTGCCATAATATGGACTTGGTCTTTTACCAAATATGGCTATCTTCTGTATACCACCCCTACATTGTCACAACACAACTGATTGGCTCAAAACATTAAGAAGGAAATACATTCCACAAATTAACTTTTAACAAGGCACACCTGTTAATTGAAATGCATTCCAGGTGACTACCTCATGAATCTGGTTGAGAGAATACCAAGAGTGTGCAAAGCTGTCATCAAGGCAAAGGGTGGCTACTTTGAAGAATCTCAAATATATTTTGATTTGTGTAAAATAAAAATTGGTTACTACATGGTTCCATATGTGTTATTTCATAGTTTTGATGTCTTCACTATTATTCTACAATGTAGAAAATAGTAAAAATAAAGAAAGATCCTGGAATGAGTAGGTGTGTCCAAACTTTTGACTGGTAGTGTATATTGTTAGAAATAATATATTTTCCTTTATTATATTCCTCTAACCCTATCATCCCTCCCCTAATTGGAGTAAACTAATGGGCAACAACACTTAGGCTTCTACCTCCAGCTTACACATACTATATACATTTTACGAATGGAGTTGTTACTTAGCTACAGTGTCTTCAGAAACTATTCACACCCCTCCACCCCCATTTTCCACATTTGTTGTGTTACAGCCTGAATTTAAAATTGATTTTGTGTCACTGACATACACACAATAACCCATAATGTCAAAGTGGAATTATGTTTATAGAAATGCTTACAAATTAATTACAAATGAAAAGCTCAATAAGCATTCAACCCCTTTGTTATGGCATGCCTAAATAAGTTCAGGAGTAAAAATGTGCTTAACATATCTCATAATAAGATGCATGGACTGCGTGCAATAAGTGTTTGACATGATATTAGAATGACTACCTCATCTCTGTACCTCAAACATACAGATAATTTTAAGGTCCCTCAATCGAGCAGTGAACTTCAAAGAGATTCAACCAAAGACCAGGGAGGTTTTCAGATGCATCGCAAAGAAGGGCACCTTATAAATAATAAAAAATAAAGCAGAAATGTAATATCCCTTTGAGCATGGTGAAGTAATTAATTGCACTTTGGATGGTGTATCAACACACCCAGCCACTACAAAGATACAGGCGTCCCTCCTAACTCAGTTGCCAAAGAGGAAGGAAACCGCTCAGGGATTTCACCATGAGGCCAATAGTGACTTTAAAACAGTTAGCGAGTTTAATGACTGTGATAGGAGAAAACTGAGGATGGATCAACAACATTGTAGTTACTCCACAATACTAACCTAAATGACAGAGTGAAAAGAAGGAAGCCTGTACAGAATAAAAGATATTCCAAAACATGCATCCTGTTTGCAATAAGGCACTTAAGTAAAACTGCAAATAACGTGACAAAGAAAAAAAACGTTATGTCCTGAATACAAAGCATTCTGTTTGGGGCAAATCCAACACATCACTGGGAACCACTCTTCATATTTCCAAGCATGGTGGTGGCTGCATCCTGTTATGGGTATGCTCGTCATCGGCAAGGACTAGGGAGTTTTTTTAAAGGATAAAATAAACTGAATAAGCACAGGCAAAATCCTAGAGGAAAAGCTGGTTCAGTCTGCTTTACAACAGACACTGGGAGACCTTCACCTTTCAGCAGGACAATAACCTAAAACACAAGGCCAAATATACACTGGAGTTGCTTACCAAGATGACATTGAATGTTCCCGAGTGGCCTAGTTACAGTTTATTTACAATAAATTAGCAAAATGTAATAAAAAAATACATGTTTTCACTTTGTCATTATGGGGTAGTGTGTAGATGGGTGAGAAAAAAATCAATTTAACCCATTTTGAATTCAGGCTGTAAACACAACATGGAACAAGTCAAGGGGTATGAATACTTTCTGAAGGCACTGTATACAGCGCATTCGGAAAGTATTCAGACACCTTGACTTTTTCCACATTTTGTTACGTTACAGCCTTATTCTAAAATGGATAAAATAAAAAAAATCCTATATACCCCATAATGACGAAGCGAAAATAGTTTATTTTTACATTTTTGCAAATTTATGAAAAAATAAATGTAAAACATTCCTTATTTACATAAGTATTGAGACCTTTTGCAATGAGACTCGAAATTGAGCTCAGGTGGATCCGGTTTCTATTGATCATCCTTGAGATGTTTCTACAACTTGATTGGAGTCCACCTGTAGTAAATTTAATTGATTGGACATGATTTGGAAAGGCACAGACTATCTGTCTATATAAGTTCCCACACTTGACAGTGCATGTCAGAGCAAAAACCAAGCCATGAGTTCGAAGGAATTATCTGTAGCGCTCCAAGACAGGATTGTGTCGAGGCACATATCTGGGGAAGGGTAGACAAAAGAACCCGATGGTCACTCTGACAGAGCTCCAGAGTTCCTCTGTGGAGATAGGAGAACCTTCCAGAAGGACAACCATCTCTGCAGCACTCCACCAATCAGGCCTTTATGGTAGAGTGGCCAGACGGAAGCCTCTCCTCAGTAAAAGGCACGACAGCCCGCTTGGAGTTTACCAAAAGGCACCTAAAGGACTCTCGAACCATGAGAAACAAGATTTTCTGGTCTGATGGAACCAATATTCAACTCTTTGGCCTGAATGACAAGTGTCACATCTGGAGGAAACCTGGCACAATCCCTATGGTGAAGCATGGTGGTGGCAGCATTATGCTGTGGGGATGTTCTTCAGCGGCAGGGACTGGGAGACTAGTCAGGATCGGGGAAAGATGAACGGAGCAAAGTACAGAGAGATCCTTGATGAAAGCCTGCTCCAGAGCGCTCAGGACCTCAGACTGTGGCGAAGGTTCACCTTCCAACAGGACAATAACCCTAAGCACACAGCCAAGACAACACAGGAGTGGCTTCGGTCAAGTCTCTGAATGTCCTTGAATGGCCCAGCCAGAGCCCAGACTTGAACCCGATCTAACATCTCTGGAGAGACCTGAAAATAGCTGTGCAGCGATGCTCCGCATCCAACCTGACAGAGCTTGAGAGGATCTGCAGAGAAGAATGGGAGAAACTCCCCAAATACAGGTGTGCCAAGCTTGTAGCCTCATACCTGTGAAGACTCAAGGCTGTAATCCCTGCCAAAGGTGCTTCAACAAAGTACTGCGTAAAGGGTCTGAATACTTATGTAAATGTGATATTTCCTTATTTTGTTTTCATAAATTGCAAAAAAATCTAAAAACCTGTTTTGCTTTGTCATTACCGGGTATTGTGTGTAGATTGATGAGGAAAAAATACAATTTAAATCAGTTTTAAAAAAAGAACCTAACAAAATGTGGAAAATGTCAAGGGGTCTGAATACTTTCCGAATGCACTGTATCCCATGTAATGATTGTAATGATTTGCATTATAGTATAAAACGAAGCCTGGTTTGTTGAGGTAATTATCTTAAATTGTAATATAATCTAACTGAACAAAAATATAAATGCAACATGTAAAGTGTTGGTCCCATGTTTCATGAGCTGAAATAAAAGATTGCAGAGATTGTCCATACGCACAAAAAGCCTCTCAAATTTGATGCACACATTTGTTTACATCCCTGTTAGTGAGCATTTCTCATTTGCCAAGATAATCCATCCACCCGACAGGTGTGGCATATCAAGAAGCTGATTAAACAGCATGATCATTACACAGGTGCACCTTGTGCTGGGGACAATAAAAGGCCACTCTAAAATGTGAAATTTTGTCACACAGCACAATGCCACAGATGTCGCAAGTTGAGGGAGGGTGCAATTGGCATGCTGACTGCAGGAATGTCCACCAGAGCTGTTGCCAGAGAATTTAATGTTCATTTCTCTACGATAAGACACATCCAACGTTGTTTTAGAGAATTTGGCAGTACGTCCAACCGGCCTCACAACCCAGGACCTCCACATCCGGCTTTTTCACCTGCGGGATCGTCTGAGACCAACCACCCAGACAGCTGATGAAACTGAGGGTTTGCACAATCGAAGAATTTCTGCACAAACTGTCAAGACCAGTCTCAGGGAAGCAGATCGGCATGCTTCTCGTCCTCACCAGGGTCTTGACCTGACTGCAGTTTGGCGTCGTAACAGACTTCCGTGTTATTGTCTGAATCCTGTAATTTGAGTTTGCAAATGGGAAAATAAACCCTCTTAAATTGTCTGCACATGCTTGTGAATTGGTGTATCATGTTGTATTATTGAAGTATTGTAGGCCTAAATGTTAAGATGAGAAGCTGCTCATAGAGCATTCTGTGAGATTTACAGTACTAGAGGTGGGCAGAGAGAACATAGTGTCGCTGAAGCCACAGTAAGTGTAGCTAATGTGAACACCAAAAAATGAAATATGTGATTTTAGAGACCGGTGCTAGTAACAAGTCTAGTAAATCTGAACGGGCCCTAAAGCGCCATACCAAGCTACTCCAGCAACGTTTTTGTAACAATGATTTTCTGCCTCACACCAAAGCTAACCAACCTCTCATTACACGTTTCAGCCTGTAAACCCAACGACAATGTTGTGGGTACCACAGCACCGGTGTACTGTAATAAATCAAAAGAATCCCATATGTGTATCAAAAGCCCCAAAACTATTCTCAAACATCAAAGCACCACATATTGAGATTATCTTAATTCAAACCGCAAGCATTTGGAAAACTAAAACCTTGCACTCGCCATTACAGAAAGAGGAACCGCAAATTTGGACTGCTACGGCGTCTCCAGGGCGGCTTTGATGTGAAAGTATTCTTTGGACACCTTGCTTCTAATTGTAATAGTTACTGCAGAAACTCAGACTCAAGACTGGGGACTGCTAGGAACGGGTACTAGGACAAGGCTGAGAAGAAGCAAACCCTCATTACAAGGAATCCACCATGCTGTAAAGAAGCCATCATCCATCCACCATGGTTGTAAAAATCACAGAAATGGAGCATTAGTATGTTGTAAACTATCCCTGTAATCCATACTGTTGTTAAAGCATCACAACCACAGCATACTGTTAATTTTTTAAAATAATAATCACATTGTGGTGAGTTGTAAAGAAACCTTCTACTGTACTGCCCATTACAATTTATCACGCTGTAAAGAGAAACTGCGTTGAAAAGTGTTCTAGCTAGAAGACCTTGTGATAAACAGTTCACAGGTGTAGGCTACACATTTGGAGAAGTGGCTTCTCATAAAAAGTCCGGTTCAATTCCTAAAAATGGCCGCGGGCCTGATAAGAATCTGCTAATAAGATGACTCAGCAGATGAGCATCCATTTCCCTTTAATAGGCTTCATACCTGGTGTTTGGTTCATAAAAGATTCCTTCTATAAAATGAAGTTGTGTTTGCTTCAAGCCTATACCTACTTATTTGTTATAGACAAACACACACTAGACAAGCATGTACACATGCGAATACACACACAGGCCCCAACTCCTTCCTGTTTTCAAAGAGTTTGGAAACTCAATCAAAAGACAAGGTTTAGGATTGACATATGTGCCCTTTTATGTCAGTGGTCTCACAGGAAAGAACCGTCTTACCCCAGCTGCAGCAGCTCCCAGCAAAGCCTTCATACTTCAGCATGCAGCAGCACAACTGAAAACAATATCTACAATTCAGACGTTTTACTGCTCAAAGAACTTCTGAGATATGGCAAAGGCACATCAGAGAGTGGAGCTCCTAGAAAAAAAGACGTTGTGACGATCCATCTGGTGACAAAATAAAGAAATGGGGAGGATTTTTTTTGCCTGGTCTAATAGGACACAGCATAGCCTAGTAATAAGCATTTTCAAAGGTAATATGTGCATTGCATACGTGTTATCTATAATTTTGTCTTGATTGTTATGACAATCAACTAAATAGGTACTGTGTTTTTTTAAAGGATTTTTTTTTTTTTTACGCTCCAAATACACTGATGACATTTACAAGTTTAAGTTCGCTCCTAAAATACTTTTAAGAGGAAATGAGAATTATAAGAGGGAAGTTGCTCGGGTTTAAAATATACCGAATCGTAACTCTGGCCATGGGAAGAGAACAGCCAGAACAGACTACATTCATACTGTACAGGGCCTGTTCAGTTGCACAGTAACACAGTCAGTAACAAACCATCCCATTCGCCAGATAGGTTTATAGAGGATTATTGTCATGCAAACAATACAACACCCTCTAACAGAACAAGCAGACTATAAATAGCCTGTACACGGGGTAATTTCACAGATTATACAACTGCTCATCCTCCATTAGGCTTGGGCGGTAACAGACCTTGTGCCATCCCAGGATATTCAGTAATACCGGCATTGAACACAAGGGGCGCTATTTTCAAACCCCACTGAAAGTTAGCAATGCTAACAAGTACATGTAAAATCCCATAGAGAATGCTAACTAAATGCTAATGAGTGCATTACAAACATTTTATACAGTCTCTGACCTAAACTATTTGCAGGACCGACATCCCAGCTCATAAAGTTATACAAGTAACTAAAAAAAGCTACTCACAGTTTGCAGCAAGCATTAAACAAATATTAAGACAGCAAGGCTCTTGATCCAAGAGGGGATTCTCTGCTGTTACCAAACAAAGATTGATTTAGGAAGAAGCTAACCACTTAGCTAACTAGCTACCAAATTAGCAAACCAAATCAACAACTGCAGAGCATTTAGCACATTTTAGACAGTTAATTCAAAGGGATCCTTAGCATGCTAGTAGATGGCGCAATGACTGGAAGCCTATGGGTAACGCTTAAATGTAAATATAGTTAGCATTGGCTCATGAAACTACCTCTAACTTCCTTCATACTGGACACAGAGACATAGAAAATGGTATCCACGAGTTCATCGAACTCTGGGGAAGTAGATAAAGGGCCTCATTGCCAAAATCCCAAAGTGTCCCTTTAATAGTTAAGATATCTAGCTGGCAAACACTTAGTTGTGAATTCCATACTGTAACTAGATCACCTGGCTCATGCTGCACAAGAGTGAGTGACTGGGGACTACCAGTAAGCTTCATAATGAAAATGTTTTGGACAGGTCAAAAGAATGCGATCTTCTTTATCTCCTAACATATTGCACCAGTTGACTGCAGGTATTTGCTTGAAAAGTAGCTACAAATATTAAAATGTATTTAACTAAACAAAATAAATAGTTAACGGTATTGATAAACCATCGTGTGGCCATTTCCAAATACCCCGGTATACGGTATATATGGTATACCGCCCAAGCCTATCCTCCATAGCTAATTATCATATGTTAAGAATCTGTAAAAAACGAAGGAGAAATTATGATGTTGCGGCAGGAAAAACAGACAGAATGTTCTGACATTTGGTAAAATATATCTTGAGATCAGTGGGAGCTAGAATCAGTGATCGTTTGACAACCTATTAAGCCAGCCAGCTGATATAGTTAGAAAATAACAATGAGCTCTGACTCAATCCAAAGTCAGGTTGTTAGCCAAAACATATTTTTGTACATTTTGTTGCACAGATAACAAGTTCCAATTCAATCAATACAGAGCAGTGGCCAGAAATATTCTAAAAGGCTAGTTCCCAAAAAGAATACAGAAGCAAAACTACAGACAACTCTGAGGACCATACCGTATACCGGGGTATTTGGAAAATGCCACAGGATGGTTTTTCAATACCGTCAAAACTATTTATTTGAAGTTTTTCAATAAATGTGAATATTTGTAGCTACTTTTGAAGTTAATACCTGCAGTCAATTTGTGCAATACGCTGAGAGATAAAGCAGATTGCGTTCTTCCTTTCACCAGTCACATTATTTTACACTATGAAGCTTACCCTAGTTCCCCAGAACAGTTGAGCCAGTCACGTGTTCGTTGTAACGAGCACAACGGGAGAAAGCGTTCTATATACATTCAATATATACACATCGGAGAGTCTGTTGTGCCGTGCACATGAGGTGATGAAGTTACACTTGTATGCAATTCACTACTAAATGTTTGCCATCAGATATCTGATAACGGCTTTCTGCCATGTTTGAGAAGTCAAAGTTCTGTACAGCTGCCTCTGCTTCCTACTAACTTTTTTATCCTCCTCCGTTCGTCTCCCCTCTGCTCCGTGTACACATGCTGCTCTTCCTTCAGAAAAGCATGCATCACAACTTTGTTCATTTGCACAATTTATCTTGTTCACTTTCTCTTGTAAATGTCCACACTCACCGAAAATGACATTCGGTTGCTACTATCTATGCTTCTATAACTTTATGAGCTGGATTTGCCTTCCTTTGCAATTAGTTTGTTCGTTTTCGCAAGTTAGCATTTTGCTAACCGCATCTGTGTGATTTCGCTATTACTTGTGCTAATTTTGGTAACCATTTTTTTATTTATTTACATTTTTGTAATTTAACAGATGCTCTTATCAGAGCGACTTACAGTAGTGAATGCATACATTTTCATACTTTTTCGTAGAGGCTCAATTGACTTTTTTTAGCACCCCCTTGTGTGCTATGCCAGTAATACCATAAATCCCGGGATGGCAGAAGAGCGGTATGAAAATCTGGATACCACCCAAGCCTACATCACACCAATGGGTATTTGAAACTCAGGCCTAGGAGGAGTGTGAGGCCTAGGCTACACGAAGGCTTCAGAACTACAGGTGTGGTGCATTTCCACTGAGGATTTACCCTGATGTTATACCCAAGGCTCAGACTTTTGTTTCCAGAACCAGCGACCTTTCGGTTACTGGCCCAATGCTCTAACCGCTAGGCTACCTGCCACCCTAAAACACTGGCTGCCCACTGGTGTGGGGGTAAGTCTCGATGGAAAAGCACCAGTGGTGTTAGCGGCAGGTAGCTTAGTGGTTAAGAGCGTTGTGCCAGTAACCGAAAGGTCGCTGGTTCTAATCCCCGAGCCGACTAGGTGAAAAATCTGTTGATGTGCCCTTGAGCAAGGCACTTAACTCTAATTGCTCCTGTAAGTTGCTCTGGATGAGTGTCTGCTAAATGACAAAAAAAAAATAATGTAGGCTATTAATTCCCCCCACTATACTGCATCACCCAAAACACTAGCCTAAAGAGATGAACAAAAGGTAGCCTCCTAAACATTATTTCACAGAGTTCCACAGGACATTACCTGAGCAATTACCACCACCATAAACGACTAGCCGAACAGCTGAAGAAGCTATGGTCTGTCATCAAGGCACGATACTCACATTCAATCAGTGGTTGTTTGGGTGCAATGTGTTTCGGGAAGCCCGTCAGAGGAATGGAGCGAAGGGCAGAACAGGCCCCCAGATGATAAGATCATGACACTCCGCATTGACAGACAAAAGCTGAGCTGTCAAATCCATCACCCAGATAGGAAGAAGAGGAGTCAGAGAGGAATCACCTGACTGCCAAACTAGGCTAAACAGAAGACAGAACAACAATCCAAAACCATTAGGCTAACCCCTAAATATATACGACATTCTTTCCCTGTGCTTCGTACTAGCATTTTTTTCTCTCCGTTCTTCTCCCCTCTGCTCCGTATACATCTTCCTTCAGAAAAGCATGCATCACAACTTTGTTAATTTGCACAATTTCTCATTCACTTTCGCTTGTAAAAATGTCCACACTCACCAAAAATGACATTCGGTAGCTACTAGCTATGCTTGTATAACTATGAGCTGGATTTACCATTCTTTGCAATTACTTTGTTTGGTTTCGCTCATTGGCATTTAGCTAACAGCAGGTGTGATTTTGCTATTACTTGTGCTATTTTGTTAGCATTTTGGGCAATTTTTTTTGCATTTTTAGCACCCCCTTGTGTGCTATGCTGGTAATATTATAAATCCTGGGATGGCAGAAGAACGGAATGAAAGACTACTTTAAGCTCCCTCATAAGGATAGGGATGAATGCTGTTATGTCTCCTATAGTCCAAGACAGACACCACCTGGTTCTTCTACTTTCTCTGTGTGATTATTTTTGCTTATCTGAAGGACTACGCTACCTTCTTCGACCCCACACACACACACAGAAAGGGAGAGTGAGAATAGGCCATGTTAGGCCTAGTCATTCCTCTTTTCAGTGTAACATGTAGACTGGATATTTAACATGGTGGTATGTATTTCACATTCTCAGCAAAAAAGCTTTTAATAACCTGTACGTGTGCGTCTTCGCGCGTGTGGGTGAGTAGCACACACATTCAACCACATTTTATTCATCACACAGCTTTGTGATCATTTGAGGAAGCAACAAGCTGTAATGTGTTATATATTACTATGCAAAATAAAAGCATATACATCTCATTTGACCCGTGATGCTAACAGAGAAAAAAAAACAACAAGACGACAATGTAACCTATTGAGCATCCCATTGTATTCATACAGATACGGCTCACAGCAATAAGTGTGTGGTTTAATGACTGTCTTTGGCTACTCATTGACATGGTTAACTTTAATGCTGTTGTGAGAAGAAATAGTAAGATACGCATGGAAATGGCTCTGTCATATATGCTTCGCAAGTACAAAACCTGATAGACCTGAACATTTGATACATTAGTGTAGCTGAAATATGTCAAAATGGCATCCAGTGGCATTAAAAAAATCTTGCTTCTTTGTGCGTTTGTGTGTTCTTTGTCATCAG